GGTGAGAGAGGCGAGAGGATGAGATGGATGAGATGGAGGAAGGGAAGGATCATTCGGAAGAAGTTGATGGAGGAGGGAAGGATGAGAGCGAAGAGTAATAAATAAAGTGAATGGAAGTGAGTAGATGTGTATAGTAAGTGAGTAGATGTGTGAGAAGCCCGGTGCACAGATGAGCCATAATGAACAAGCTAGTTTGATAAATAAAACAACATAAGATAACTAGGCCCATTGGTTTATTGCTATTATATAACATCACAAAAATACTTTTCTGTATGCAAGATTATGCATATTACTCTATTTGATGTAAGTCAAACATATTTCATGAATCCATCCTCTCCAACAACAATTGTTTTTCTTTTCTTCCTAAGAGTTCGTTCTCCAGACTCATATCTTTCCATAAACGCATTCATCTCTGCTTCAACTTTTTCAACATCAAGTAATGTCGGCGAATAATTCACCTTGACACATCTGTTGTTCATGAACCGAATCGCTCCATTTATATCATTAAATTTGTAGACATACACAAAGTTTCCATTGCGTTCTTCCTTTGACTTCAACTCTCCATCATCAATTTCAATTGGCATGTCATACATCAACACAAACGACACCAGATTCTCCTTTGTTTCGATGTTTGTGCGCATTTCAATCTCTGATGTAACTCCTTCAATTTCAAACGGAAACTTGACTTTTATAACATCCATGGGTATTGCCATGCCATAACCATATTACTACATCATCTATTAGCTCATTTGTATAAATTCACTAGTCACATACTTTGTTTTCAATCGTTCGCCATCATGTGCTTACACCTCATTATTGCAATAGCCTTGATTCCAAACCATATCTCTACAGACTTCATGCATCTCACTTTTGCTAAGGAATCCACATATCTCGCATTGCTTATATACTTCATCAAGACTCAATATAAACTCAGAGTGCTGGACAAGTGTTCTTTTAGTGACTTCAAGTCCTTCTTCAGCTTCGCAAACCCATCCATTCAGTATGAGCATATCCAGGACCTCCCCGTTTGCTGGCTCTTTGTACACAACTTTCCGGAGTACTTCCTTGATTTCTTCAAGACGTCCATCATGCCTGCAACTTGTGCGATGATCTTTCAGCAGCAAACATGATCGGTCTGGCCACTCAATCACTTCATACTCCATAGGCCGCAACAACTCATTGGCAGCTTCTACAATGCATCCATGTATCCCATAGACAACTCCATCTGCAAGCAGTTTGCACACTACATCGCAAACCTCCATCCCTACAAAGCATTTTGTGCAAAATAAACTCATTTCAAGACTTGCATTTAATTACTCAAAGCTCGGCCTTTGGCGCAAGGCCTTCTCCAGCATCAAACCTTCTCTCCTCCTTGTGCTCGTCAATATGGACCATGCCTCCAAAACTAGATAGATCTGTTCCAAAAGTACCAGACTCACGGATAAATTCAACAACACTCTGGAAACTCTTGACCCCGCCTTTTGAATACTGTACACTCTCATTACTTTCTGCTTTATATAGAACTATAGCAGGCACAAACCTCACATTGAAATCCTCAATATCATTTACATCATTCAATCCAACATCACAATAGCCAATCACTAGCTTGTCATTTGCATGAGCCTTTGCAAGCTCACCAATCCTCTCCAAAATCGGCTTTATATTTACACAGTGCGGGCACCTCTTCATGCCAAGCACGATCAGCCTGTCCCTAGAAACATCTTCGAGATATGCTCTGCTGTTATTCCTGGTTATGACTTTTACGCTCCTCTCTTCGTTGTCTGCTGGCTCATCCTCTGTTTTGTAAAACACCGTTGCCTTCTTTTCAATCACGTCCCTGATAAATCCCGCAATGTTTTCCTTTGCTGCATTCTTTAGTACATACTTTCCTCCATCATCATTGATTGACACACATCCTGGGAAATCGCTTTTGCTCAATCCATACTCCCCAACATTCAGCTTGTCTTCTATCACCGGAACCAAAATCACCCTTACATCATACCTGAACTCCGCCAAACGCTCGAAATACTCCTCACGCATTTCATCAGACCGTCCGTTTTCAAAAAATATGTAGAATATGTTTACATCCAACATATTGTATAGATGAATGTTCTCCCTTGTAGTGTATCCCATGATTGGCAGCGAAGATAGTGGGAGAATCTTTTTTACATTCGCATCGTTTACAGCCATGATATATCTTATGTCATCGGATGAGTTATACGCATATGCACCAGGCACAGGAACATTCAGCTCCGATGCCAATACTGAGTCGGTGGATACAAATATCTTCGATGCATCTCTTCCTGGATATATTTTTGTATTATGCCCAGAAGCATCCAGAAAATACACTATGAAGTTCTGTTGAAACTTCTCTGTATTTCCTGCTCTCATGAATCCAATCACATCCTCATCTGGCGCCGGGTACTTTCTTAGCATGTTTATTGCCGCATCTACCTCTTCTGCGCTTGGAACAACAAACATTCTCCCATCGTGTCGTACTTCCACACCCTCGCCTTCGGACTTTTCATCTTGAGGCACATACGCAGACACGTCCTTCATTTTATTGACCACATCAAACAGAGACGGGCTTGGCACAATCTTAAGACCTTCAAGCATGTTTGCTACGGACTCAGCCATAGCATCACATCCGATGTGCATGAGTACCACGAATATATTCAATATTGTCAATCGCATTCAGGGATTGTTTTTGTGTTTAATATAAACAATCCAGGATTGAATTTATCTTACTCAAGCATGTGATAGCAGAGGTATTTGATTAGCCACACATTTGGTGTTCAATGATAACATTACATTGTATCAAAAGCGCCATACCCTTGATGATTGAAAGCTCAGGAATAAAGGCATTCATAGTGGAGTACTTCATTGAGCATGTCCGGGAAGATATCAGTAGAATGGCTGTGAACATACATTCCACTTTGCAAACGCGCTTCTTGCCCAATGAGGTTGTTTATGTTGTAGATAAGAAGATTTTCGCAAGAGTTGCTCGGAACCTTGGAAATGATTATACCGTAACGGTGGATTCTGAGGAGGGAGGGCATGAAGTGCAATGTGTGTTTTCGTCACTTGAAAGGATAAGAAATGTAACCGAATGCGATATTAGGATGTATTTGCTCGGAATAACTATGGAGACTGCTTTTGGCCGAGTGCTGAAGAAAGATGTATTCAAGAGCATAAAAGAAGCAATACAAATAGAAAAACGCAAAGGCGTTCCAAGTAAGCAGCAATGTGCAAATGCAAGCATGCCTAAATCGATTGAAAAGCATAAGCTAAAAAATGAAATGTATCAGAAGCAATGCGTGTCTAAAAAGATCAAGAAAGAGAAGGATGCATGCGAAGAAGTGGATGGTAAAGAGAAAATGAAGCAACACAAAAAAAGAAGGAGCAATGATTTCGAGGAGCTGATTGGAAATGGGCTAGACCACGAGTGCAAGTTGAGTTTTGAGTCGGTAGGTGTAAAAGAGATGAGGCTTGTGATGAAAGTCTTTTGCTTTATTGCCAACTTTAAGGAAATTCTTGGAATTAGAGGCGTGCTGCTGGATGAGCTGGTAGAGATGTTCAAAAATCAATCTTATGAGTCTGAGGCTGTGTCTTCTATGCATATGAAGATGCTTGAGATGATACAAGAAGATGCTCGTGATTGCATGGTTGAGGATTTTGTGGAATGCATCAGGCCGTCTGCGATGCTGATAAAGGAAGCAATGAAGGAGTCGAAAGCCGATGGAGGCGGGATGCATGCAAATGTAGCGGCAAAATGGAACGATAGCATGAGTATTGATGATATTGTGAGGTATGAATGCAATTGGAAACAGAAAATAGCCATGCTTGTGGAGTTTCTTTCAAGCCACCTGAGAATGGATCTAAAAGAGATAGGAATACGTGTATTTGGTTCTGATGTTTATGGGATGAAAGACCATAAATGTGGAATGGTTGATAGATTGGTTTTATTTGAGTTTTTGATGAACATGTTTTGTGTAACAAATGCTTTCAGAAGCATGATATCTGACAGAATGAAGGCATTGAAAGAGCTTAATAAGCAACGGAAAAAGGCACAGGTGTTGATTAAGAATACCAAAAAAGCAGAAGATGCATGCGTATTGAAGGGCAAATCCACAGAGCAGCAGAATGAAGATGCATGCTGCAGCTTGAATACGCCGGATTTGCAGCCTAGTGTATTTATAAAAGCCGATCTTGGAATTATTAATGGCATTCGCTTTTTCGTAGCAGATGGAAGCATATATGCACAGAACGGCCAAGACTACTACATCGTGCCAGCTGATGCGCTAAGTATGATGAGCAATAAATATCGTGTGAAAAGTAAAGATGAGAAGAATGCGATGATTAACATATTGCAACACTCGAAGATAATGTGATATGGTATTAGTTAAGTATCAATCATATGGATTTGTGATTAAATAGAATCGATATACATGTTAAGCATCTACCTTAGGACTCCTACTGCACACCCGATGTATAAATGCAGTCGATCATGTGCTATATAAGCTACTCTGTTGTTCTGCCAGGTTTGAAAAATGATACACCGAAGCGCCACTGTTTATGCATGATGCAACAAATGCATTTTGACTGGTATAAACAAGAGCAATGATCAGCAGGAGCAGGATTGATAACTTATTGAGAAATGACATTGAGGCTTCGTCATTCGATCATAGCATGAACATAGGAAGATATGTGACAACCATCAGAAGCCTTAAAAAGAAGTATCTTGGCAATGAAATCACATTGCTTGATATTTATCAGTACTACCGAGTACCACTATCTATGTATACATCCAGGAAAATGAGAAATGTGTTTGTGACTGCTTCTCTTTGCCTGACTGTGTACATTACATCAAACATGGACACGCTGAGAAGCAACAGTATCCCAAGCCTCGGGCTGAATTTTTCGTCGGCAGCTTTGGTTGTTGGAGGAGCCTTTGTAGGAAAAGAGATTATTTCATATGTGCTGAACCTGAAAAAAACAATGTCTATGTTCTACATATACAGATACATATTGAAGAGTGATACCGAAAGCACCAAGTTCAGGGACATTGTTGAGCAGATAATTAGGCTCGAAAAGGAAATACACGGAAGAGAGTTGCGTGAGAAAGACATCCGATACATTATCAACCACGAAAAGTTCCTGTTGCTGCTGCTGATGAGGAGGTTTCCATCAATCTTCGATCCAATGTGTTCCAGGTTTTTGCTTTACATCCTGCATCTCTACATTAATAAAGTAGGCGTACATGCAATCGATGAGCTGTGTGATGAAATCAGAGTAGTGGTTTTGATCATGGCCGTGCTTTCCCCTGTGATCTCCATATTCTTCATGCTGTACTATGTTGCAAAAATAATTGAAAACTCTCAGAACTGCATCTTCTATGCATTCAGAAGGGAGCATAGAACGTCATTCAAGTATTTCATAACAAAAGGCACGGAATATCCTCACGAAACCCAGATGAGGATTCAAAGGGGTGCAAAGTACCTCGATCAGTTTTTCCAGCTCAAGAGAGGCAACTATCTTGTGGGCATATGCTCTGCAATCTCGTTCTTCTTGAGCTGCTTGATCTTCCTTACTGCATGCTTGATGATCAAGACAGTACTAACAAGCAACTCTACACTCAACGGTGTTTTCCGTGAAAACATAAAGATATTTGGCAGAAAAACAAGCATAGTCCATCTGTCATACTTCATAGGAGGCATTTCTTTTTGCCTGAAATGCTTGAACTTTAGATATGCAACGGTTAATCGTCGGAAGGCATTTGCAAAATGGTGCGAAATCATGGATCAGGACGGGCTTCTTAAATACTCCAGAAACAGAAAGTATCTGGAGCGTGTCATAACAAGGTTCTTTGTGCCTAGAATCTACCTTTTTGTCTTGGAAATAATCTCTCCGTTTGTTGTTCCATTCCAGCTCTCGAGATTCCGGAGAGAGCTGAGAAGCATTGAGTTAATGTTTCAGTCTGCAGGGAATTATCAAGAATACAATAGATTCTTCAGAAGCAAACGTGCATCTGTCCTTGACTTATAGAATAGAGCTGTCCAGTTGGCACGCATTATATAAATATCATTTTAATGATTGCTTCCCTCTACTGCAAGAGACACATCTCGTTTCTTTCTATTTCCTTTGCTTTTCGCGCAACACATGATGGGCTTATCACATACATGCTGCTGAATCTTCTCAAGAACGTTTGTGTATCGCTGTTGACCAAAAGCCCCTTTTTCAATTCAATAGCAAGGTCCTCAGGAAACTCCTCGCGGTCAAGCACTGGCAATGCAAGCCAAGCAGATGGAAACAGCTCAAAAACCTCATACTTACAGTTCGGAAACATAATCGACGGCTTCTTATTCGATCTCACTGGCTCCATGTTCTCCATGTCTCTCTCAACCCATTCATCGCTGCTCTCAGACTCCACCTCCTCTCCATCGCTGCTCTCAATATCCTCAGCCTCATCCACATCCTCCCAATCAGATTCATATTCATAGTCGAGCACATGTGGAAGCTTTAAAGTGCTATTTCGTACAGGCAGCTTTTCATTCAAAACCCTGTGGACTGGCGGCTTCGGCTGATCACTGAACTTGATGAATGTCAATCTTCGTGAATTCTGCACATCCTTCCTTATCCGAATACTGCAGCCAAAAGGACACGTTGGCGTGGCAATCGCAACACTTTCATCAAAGCACACCGGATAAAACATTCCAATCGCCGGCCTTTCAGGCGCCTTTCTGCTTTGCACACTGACAAACTTCAGCATGCTCGAGTCGCTCATACTTCTATCCAAGCATTGCTTCTTAGATCTGCCTTTGCCCAGCTCACTGTTTCTAATCCTCTTTACAAGACTAAATATACCCTTCGGAATTCCAGAAACATCATTTGCTGCATACACATATTCATCACTGCCTTCAACAGCCTTCTTCGCAAAGTTCATATCAATCATTGCTCTCAAATACCTCATTCTGTCTTTTTTGCCTGGCTTATTCTTCTTATATCGATACAAAATTTCATCCAACGCTTTGTAATCAATCTTTCGTTTGCAATCCACCAGCAGCACAAGCAGTTCCAGTCGAACATTCAAATCCGCTGACTCCTTCCACTCATGCAGCAGCTTCAATGTCGTTGGATGAAACAGCATCCTCATGGCTCCGAAATGATTCAAAAATATATCCTCATGCAATATGCCCAGTACCATCGCCACTTTCCTCCCTCATCACACGCGCCTGCTTTTCATAACTCAAATCCAAGCTCACTTCAAAGTACAGGCTTCCATAGATCGCTTTCAAATCATCCTGCGAAATATAATGAAGATTTGTATGATCAACAAACGACATGCCTCCCTTCTTGCATATCTCAGCCACAAGCCTTCGTGCTCCCTTGGTATTCATCCGTGCAACCTCATTGAACATCTGCTTCGTCATAATCACATTCAGCAGAAAAGGCCTTTCCTCAACTACTCTCTGAAGAAAAAACACCATCTGCTTGTAGTTCCTATCAACATAATCCTTTACAAGCACCACCATCCTTTCATCATTGAAGTTCAGTATCCAGTCAACGGGCAATGTGTTGAACAACTCAATCTTCCTTTCACTAAACAGTTGGTTCACAAGCACCGCTTGGAAAAACTCCCTGAAAACTTCCGCTTTGCAGCTAAACAAAACGTAAAACTCAACAAACTCTTTGAACCGGCATATCCGCTGTTTCATCTCTTTAATCACAAGCTTCGAGTCCAGCTGACAGAAGTCGTGGTAGAAAAAGTCCTTCAGAAACCGCAATCTCCGGTACTCAAATGGATACAGCGAGAAGCTTATCTCACTCTGCGCTTTCAAAAGCGCCCACTTGATGTCAATCTCAGGCTCAACCTTCTGCTTCTTAAATGCACGGAACTGATTCTCCTTTATCCTGCTTTCAACCTTCAAAACATTCACCTCCTTCTTCAGGCTCTCAATCTTGCGAAGCTCATACAAGGTCGCTTGGCTCTTCTGCTCCTTCATCGAAAAATTCTCCTTCTCAAGCGATATCATGTTCCTACGCAAAATCGATATTTCTCCCTGCAACCTCATATTCTTCGCATTCAGCGCCTTCATCCTCTCACCCTGTATCTCTTCTTCCGTAAGCTGCATCTCGCTTCCCTTCGCATGCGATTCCAATGGCATCCCTAATGCAAACAACCAGCCAATATACTTATTATACACTCCAATCCTCGGATTTGCTTACTTTGAAGTATCCTATTCATCACTCCATGCTACTTCATCTTCCTTGCAAACACACTCATTCCATTCGTATCAGCGAGTCTCTACTTATCTTCAGTAGCGGAAGAGCATACCTCTTGCCATCAAGAACAACTCTGTACACAAACCTCACGCAAATCCCTCCATATTCAATCGTAAAACATCCTCGCCTATCAAACATCACAGATACCTCTTTAAACACACACCTCTCCGATTCAAATGCATCAATAAGTATCTCCTCTTCGCTATAAACTTCTCCATCTATGCATTCAACAACCACAATAAACACTTCTGTACGCTTCACCATTCGTTCGTACCTTACTACCATCCTATCCTCATCGATTAGGTACTTTCCATACTCAACCCTAGCAATCTCCATATCCCCATCCTTGATAACAACCTTGCGCCGTTCATTCTCAACACAAAAATCATCTACCGACATGTGCAGATACACGTCTCCCTTATACAACGCTCCAAACCTATGCATTACATCATCCATAAACTCCCCAAGATCTTCAATCTTCCTTGCCTTGCTGCTAACCGTATCCTCAATTCCGTCTACGCTTTCTCCAAGCATTCTACGCACACTCCTGACTATTTCTTCAAATGCTGTTTCTTCTCCTTCCCCCACTCTAATCATCTCCTTGCATATCACAACATTCTCCATACACTTCAGTGGCTCAAACCCAACAGCATATACTTCAAACATTTTCGTCTCAACCTCCTTTGTTCCTCTAAAATACATTTCAACCACAACTCTGTATAGAACCTCAAATGAATTAAGCTTCATCGATGGAACACTGCTCCTCGGTATCACACATGCATAATTAGCACCGTTGTCTTGAATCACAAGCTGCACAGGAACAGCCTCTAAAATCTTGATCTCATAGCCATTAATAACAAGAGCTCCAACTATCCTGGCTGTTACAAACACATCCATCGCTTCTTCTTGCTCAAAGTGCTTCCTAACCATTATTCTTGCCCGGAATATCCCTCCCACAAACGAGTCATTTGCATAAATCTCAAACATCATCTCTCCAAGCTATCCAAGGGACTTCCAACACAAACATCCACTATCATCCATAAACACAATCCTTCTTTAATCAAAAACATTCACTACATCAATCCTCATCATTTCTTCCATATGCTCCTTTCAAATGGATCTTCTTCCATAGCATTCAAAATGCCCACTCCAAACATATTCTTTTTTGGCTGTTCCTCTCCTGCTGGCTGATTATCTGTATATCCTATACTCGGCTTTGCTGGCTGCTGCCCTCCTTCGCCACCGGAAAACAATCCTCCAAACAGGCTCTTTCCACTTCCAAACACTGCTGGCCCTCCATACCCCACATACTCAGGTACTGCTTGCTCTCCAAATCCATTCACTGAAAAGCTCATAGGCACCTCTTTCTCCTTATCATCGTTCCTAAACCCAAACATCGGCATCTGTCTATCAGCTATCATCCCTCCAAACACAAAAGGTGCCTCCTCCTGCTTAGATCCATTCCGTTCATGCCCTTTCTCGGCACTTCCAAGCTTCCTCTTCAGCGACACCAACCCTGAATTCATACCAGACATACTCAATTCATCCATAGATCCCTGATGCACTTCTCCACCACCATTCAGATCTCCATCAGCTTCAAACTCCTTTTGATTATCCATTTTCATTTCTCCAACAAACGGATTGCCCAAGTCTTCTTCATTCATCAATAGCAATGGCTCTCCCGTTCCCTTCAACTCCACCATTCCTTCATTCAAACCACTTCTATCATCGCTTTCCATTCCTTTCATTCCTTCTCCATTTATACCATCTACTCCATTCTTCTTTAGCGTCGTGCCATTCCCAAATACAGTGCATCTCGCTCCATTCCCTGCATCATTATTCATCACATTCCAAAACCCAAATCGCTTTGGCTCCTGCTTGTCTTTTTCTTCCATCCCAATCTTTGTGTCAGAGCTAGCTTTGCCTATTCGGCTTTCCTCACTCACCCATTCTTCCATCTTATTCACTGCATCACTTTCGTTCTCCATCACCTTATCAACTGCCGTTGATTCATGATCGACCAAACTCTCGCCTGCCTTCTCATTCATTACTCCACTCTCCATTCTAGAGCATACATTGCCAGCTCTTCTATCCTCTGTAAATCCTTCATATCCATATCCACTCGCTCCCTCATTATCTGCTTCATTCACATTCAGTCCCATACTCTCTCCCTCATTCATATCAAATAGCTTTCCTCGCCTCACCTGGCTCAAAATCCTTTCAAGCTTATCCCGGTCTTCAGAATCAAGATCTTCAACCTCAAACTTATCATCCGTAGTATATCTCATCACTCCCCTATCTATCCCAAACTCCTTCTCAAAATAGAAGCATCGCTTCGGAACCTTTGCTTCCCATTTCTCTTTCGCTACTTTTCTTCGCATCCTGTTCTCCTCCTCTTCATACTCCTTCCTCTCGTTCTCCTTCCTCTCATACTCCTTCCTTATCTCATACTCCACACAACTCCTGCAATTGTATTCTCCCCCAAAATTGCACCCAATCTCTCTACTATGCACACCTGACTGGCACAGCTTCCTAACATTCTCTTCGCCAAAGTAATCCTTCTCCTCACTTGTTGATACCTCCCCCAAACTCAGAAATAAGTTCTCCTCCGCATCATACGATATTGCTCTCTCAATCGTTTCTGCTGACGTTCTTCCTTCGCCTCTGTACTTCTTTGGCAGCACGCCCCAGCTAACGTCATTCTCCTTCTTAAGCTGCCCCTTCTTCTGATATCCGCTCCTCCTATGCTTCTTGATCTTCTCATCATTCATCCCCCCATGCTCAGATCCCACTTCTTCCAATCCTCGCTTCCTAGTCATTCCTACTTCCTTTGCAATCCTCCATTCCATCATCCTCTTCAGCTTCTCAAACCCTTCCTCTATCCTCTGCTCACATCCTGGCTCGGCTATCCTCTTGCACAATCCCTCAATCCATGCAAGCTCGCTCATCTCAATCGGTCTACCGCTTCTCAGCCTATCACATAAGTCCTCGTGCGCATCCTTTTCATTCTTGTCAACAATCCTCAACGTCGTCTTAATGCTTCTCCATACTTCCTTCATCTTTTCATAGAATCCTGACATCCTGGGCAAAGCAATTTTTTATCATAACTTGTTATACATCTCCAAATACACACACAATTCCACTCACACATTTATTAGCATAGCACATTCACATTCACATCATCCAGCCTCACATCCTCCCCAGCACACCTTTACTTTCATTTCCATTCACTTCCCTTGCATGCTTCTTCAGCTCGTAAGCCTTCAAAACACACTTGTTCCTTCCTTCTCTCTTAGATTCGTCTCTTGTACATTTTCTAAGCCCATCAGCAATCATCATGCTACTCATTTCATACGGCCCCTTGCCACATACAGGGCACCTTCCTCTTATTCTCAACTCTCTCTTGATGCACAAATAGCAAAACACATGTCCACACTCGCTTTCATGCTTCACACTTATCTTCCCTCCACACACTCCACATTCCTCATCCATGGGATATCTCATCATCCACATATTATTGCTCTCCATCAGTCCGATTCATGCCTTCGCCATGCTTTTCTCAGCCTTTACATACTTCAAAATCCTCTTCATAGCCTTCTTTAGAATCCCAGACACCCAGATCGTTGAAATCGAGCACTTCAGCCCTCCCACCTCTCCAGTCGTGGCAAGCGTAAAAAGCAGGTTCCTATACCCTGACACATCACATCTGATCAGTGCAATCTTGCAATGCTTCAAATACTCAACAACACTCAGATGCCCTGCTTTCGACAATCCATTCATTCCGTAGTCATCCCCAAGCCTGGCCTTCAGAAATGGCAGCAACGACGTCTCCAATGACACATTCCTCTCCTCCTCAAATCTGATCCTCACTGCAATATATCTCATCTTCTGCCTAACCATCTTCAGGGCATAGTTAACCCTTCGTCAAATATCTTCCACTCTAACACTCTTTTCTTCAACCACCATCAATCTTCCTTCAATGCACAACCTTTCAGCAATGCTTCTTACATCCATCAGTTCATCATACATCACACAGATAATTCCTCGATATACACAAAACCTTCTGACTTCACACAACGATCTCGACACCATTACTATAGGAACACAAGGCCAAGATGCATAAAATCGCTCCACCTGGTCCACACGGCAAAGCCATAAAACAATCGCCGATATGTATGGAAATAGCTCACACATTCCAACACCCTCCCTGCATCTTCTGCTGTACTCCTCTGCATCTATACAAATCATCCTCATCGCCTCAACCGCCTTGATAGGAAACCTCCCAACAGCAGTTTCTCCGCTCAGCATCACGCAGTCGCATTCGTCCATCACTGCATTCCCAATATCCGAAGTCTCCGCTCTTGTCGGCATCTCTTTGCTGATCATGCTTTCCATCATTTGTGTTGCGCATATCACAGGCTTCCCGGCCTTCTTTGCTGCTGCAACTATCCTCTTCTGCGAGCTAAACATGCTTCCCATTCCAACCTCAACTCCAAGATCCCCCCTGGCAACCATTATTCCATCAGAGACACACGCAATCTCATTCAGGTTCTCCATTCCCATAGACGACTCAATCTTCGATATAACCGGAACATTCCCAACTATCCTTTTGATGTCCTCGACATCATGCCGAGAGCCAACAAACGATGCAAATATCATGTCTACTCCACACTCAACAGCAAACTCCATATCTTCCTTGTCATCTTCCCTAAGATATCTCGTTCCTATATCCATCCCTGGAAAGTTCATCGACTTGTTGCTTTTCACCAGATGCCCATTCTGCGATATACATTCAAATCCCCCATCAAACACCTCTGTTGTTTTCAGCTCAAGATGCCCGTCATCTATAAACACCTTTCTTCCAATCTTCAGCACACTCAGGTCTATCTCAGATATGCATATTCCTCCCCCTGATTGCTTTGTATAAAACTTCATTACATCACCTGTGCTTACATAAACATCGTCCTCAGTACTGATTCTTACCTCAGGCCCTCGTGTGTCCAATGCTATTGCAACATACCTACCCTCCGATTTCCTGACTTCCTGAATGCCCTTAATCACTTTCCTGTGCTCATTTCTCTCTCCATGGCTGAAGTTTATTCTTGCAATGCTCATCCCTGCCCTGATCAGCTGTGCTATCTTGTCTTTTGAAGATGTTTCTGGCCCAATCGTGCATACAATCTTTGTTTGCGCCTCCTTCATACAACAGGGCCTGGATTATCCTCCCCTTACCTGCAATATTCTCAATTCAGATATTCGGTTATCCTCCACTATGGATCTCAGATAAAGGCCTAAAAGGAGGCTTTGCATGCTAAAACAGACGAATACAGGCTGCCTTCGAAGCACATGAACACAGTTGCAGTATTACTGAAGTCGGCTGATCATCGCAATAAAATCATTGAAGATGCAGCAACAAGTGCATTATTATGCTCTGCAAGGCACATAGTGCTTATATTCATAGAAAGAAACAGCATCTTCCTGTTCAACAACCCCCACGTGGTATTTGAATCTGAGAAGCTTGTTTCCACACAAAAAAAGCTCCAGAGAAAAGCAATCACTGAATACTTGTGCATGATAGAAAGCTCAATAAAGCAAATCAGTTCAGAAATCGAGGTCTCCAAGCTGGTTATCAGTGGTGATGAAAAATACAAGGTAAGAAAGTGCTTGGAATGTCTGGAAGTAGAGGTCGTTGTGCTCATAAGCGAGCCAAGGGGAAAGCATCTCTACGAATACTTCATCAGTCCTCTTGATGACTACATCTTCGAAATACTGCAGATCCCAGTAATCAAAATCCCAGTATACTCGCATCCACGTCCTAAGCAATCCTAACACATATAGCACATCTAGCATCACTATGCAGATAGCCAATACTGTGCCTAATAAATCTTTCAGATACACAGCTTATACTAGTAGATATATACCAATTTATTGAATAGCCTTAGCAATCCTTTGCAAGCCATCTTTGATGCAAATCTACAGCAACAAAAACTTGCAATAGCAGTTTCGTTGTTTAAACCCACTACTTCCGATATCACAATCGAGTTGCAGATCATGCATATAAAATCAATCACAATCAGATACTCCTGGGGCTTATAGTTCCACATCACCATAATAAACACGAACATGCAGTAGAAGCTCGAAAAAACCACTGCCTTTGATAATCTCAAAAACCCAGTGTACCTGCCGAACAAACACATCAGCATACCAATCAGCATCACAAGCTCGACAAACTCCATAATCATTCGTTTGCAAGCTTTCATCACATCATCCATCATCATCAGCTTCGCAAGCTTACTTGTTGTATACACCAGTATCGGCATCTCATCATCTTGAGCAATAGGCATCATAACACTCCTTATCATTAATAGCCCAAGCATGGCCAAGCAATACGCTGCCTTGTTGTCGAACACACTCGTGTTGTTGAACAGGTAATGCCTGAAAACTCTTCTTTTGAGCAGCAGCAAGTCAATCAGCTTGATCAAGTTGTTTACTTCGAAGTATCTGTCCATTCTTTTCCCACACGACCCACACTTGCAGATCTGCTGTATGGTTGAGTTTTTCATAAACAGGTGCCTTGATCTTGCACCGCACTCAACACAGGCATACATCCTTGGGGCACTCCCTCTGTCGTCGATTGCATGAGGTTGTTCTGGCCACAAGCCCTTCAGATGCCGATTGCATACATGTTTGATGAGGAGGTTGGCCTGTTCCACTACGGGCCTAGGCATCCAATGAAGCCATTTAGAATAGCTGTCACACACTCTCTGGTAAGATCGTTTGGCCTTGATAAGAAGATGACTGTGCTTGCTCCACAGACATGTCCTCTCACGTATCATCCAAAAGATTATCTTGACGGCCTTGGCACGAATGAAACATCAGATTGCCCAAACTTTATTGGGCTTCCTAGGTTCTGTGAGCTCTATGGAAGTGCTTCCATAAGCTCGGCGATGATTCTTTCCGAGGGAGTGTACGACACAGTGATCAACTGGAGCGGAGGGCTGCATCATGCTCACAAAAGCGTGCCCAGCGGATTCTGCCATGTAAATGATATTGTCATGGCCATTCTTGAGCTGCTCAAGACGTATAGAAAGGTGATGTACATCGACATAGATGTTCATCATGGTGATGGAGTTGAGGAGGCGTTTCTAGAGTGCGACAGAGTTTTGAGTCTTTCGCTTCACAAGTACGGAGATGGGTTTTTTCCAGAGACTGGAACACTAATTACTACGCCGCACAGAGCTGTGAATGTGCCTCTTCTGTCGGGCATTGATGATGCAAGCTACAAATATGTTTTTGAGCCGATTATTGATGCATGCACAAGGAAGTTTGCACCGGATGTGATTGTGCTGCAGTGTGGAGCAGACTCGCTTGGCGGAGATAGGCTAGGATGCTTCAATCTTTCGATAGGAGGGCATGCATCATGCGTAAGGTATGTGAAATCGCTTGGGATTCCGTTGCTTGTTCTTGGAGGAGGAGGATACACCTTGACGAATGTTGCAAGGTGCTGGGCATATGAAACGGCGGTTCTGTGTGGAGAGGATCCTGCATCCGAGATCCCAGAGGACAATCCGTTCTATACATACTTTAGCCCCACATATACGCTTGACCCTGTGCTCAGAAGGAAGTACTTGAACAGGAATGATAAGGAGTATCTGGACACGGTTATGAGCTTTGTGCTTGACAAGGTAGGCAAGTTTTGAATATGTGTTTTGAGCATGCTATGGGTAAGCATTTGCATCGAGAGGATAGAGTGCTATGGATGAAAATTTTATGGCTGCTGAATACCCATTGAGATGGACAGCAGACTTGAGAAGATTAAAGCACAGGTTGAGTTTTACTTTAGCGATGCGAATTTCAGGGTGGACAAGTTTCTTAGGGAGCAGGCGATGGCGAGCGAAGGATACGTGAGCATTGCGACGATAGCGTCGTTTAACAGGCTGAGGAATTTGAATGCCACGGTTGAGGAGATCAAGCAGTCGCTGGAGGGAAGCAATGTTGTTGAGCTGAAGGACGACAAGGTAAAGAAGATTGAGACGGAGGAGTATTTGTCGTATGTTGCTGATGGATGCATTGAAAAGAGGGTTGTCTATGCTGAGGGGTTTGATAAGGAAAGCAGTCTTGAAGATATTGAGCAGATACTGAGTGAGCATGTGGAGCCTGCGCTTATAAGGATGAGGCGTGATAAGGAGAAGGTGTTTAATGGAAGCGTGTTTGTGGAGTTGAAGTCTGAGGCAGATGCAGAGAAGCTAGTTCGAGCCAAGATACTGGTTGGAGGCAAGGCAGAGAATGGAGATGATGAAGAGTGCGTGAAGAAGCAGAAGAGCGAGGAGAAGTATTTGAATATAATAAAGAAGGAGGATTATATGAAGGAGAAGGCAAGGATGACTGCAGAGAAGAAGGAACAGGTGGCAAGAGAGGCGCTTGAGAAAGACTTTGTGCCAAGGCTGTTTAAGTATGAATCAAGCGAGGAACTGGATGTGAAGGCGATAAGGAAGATCGTTAAGAACACAGCATTTATTGATGTGAATGAAAAGGTGATACGGATGAAGTATATTGAGGAATTCAAAGAGAAGAAGTTTGAGGAGGAGGGAAAGGAAGTGACGCTGATAAAGATGGATGAGGACAAGGCTCTTGAGTATTGCAAGAAGATCAAGATAGTGCCGAAGGAAGATAAGAAGCCGATCAAGAAATAAAGATATATTATCTAGCTGATTTGACACGTGTTTATTAGATTGTTTGCACAGCCCATATGGAGATAGAAGATAAGTGCAAGGTTGTCCTGAGAGTGTATCCACTTGGAGATTCAGAGCTGAATAAGTTTATAGCATCCTCTCTTGGAAAGCAGGAAGTGCATATATGGCATACATCAGTCGAGGTATTTGGCTCTGAGTATTACTTCCAGAGTGGAATCATGAAAGCAGTGCCTGGAAGCACAGTACATGGAATCCCGGTGGCCATGCATGACCTTGGTGTAACAAGCATCCCTGAGATTGTATTCGATGATTTCTTGTGCTCAATACAGGATGACTTTGCACCTCATAAATACCATTTGCTCAGGAACAATTGCAACGACTTTAGTAACATACTGGCAATGTATTTAGTTGAGAAAAGCATTCCTGACTATATTCTGGAACTTCAAAGAGCTGCATTGAAGTCTGAATGGATGTCTTCTGCTGTAGATATGTTCTTTGGAAAATAAACATTCATATTTCACCTTCTTCCTTTTCTTCCTGAGCAGATTCAAAATACATGTCGATGGCTCTTCTATCAATAGAATCAGGTTCAACTTTCCTTTCTCGCCCTTGCATATATCCGCCTACCCTGTGCTCCAAGCCATTCATGAACTCAAAGTATATTTCCTTTATGTCTTCATTCCCGCCAAGAAGCCCCTGGAACGGCTTGGAGTCTTTGAATACATGGAATGAATTCTTGAACTTCATCCTGTAGTGTATTTTCCCTTTTCTATATAAATCCTCGAGCATACTTACAAACGGTTCTTTCCAGCTCTTTGCATTGCATATCACTTCGTTCCTTGTATTTTCAATGCTTATCATAAACTTCTTTTGCAATGCCTTGAAGTATTTAATGAATGCAAGCAAGACATCCTTTCTATCAAACCTCTTTACTTCATTCAATGCAAGCACCTCAACTATTGATGTGCTCAGATCAACTCCGTGTTTATGGAAGATCTGTTCAAGTTCTACTCTGACTGTTCCTCCCTCGTTATTCTCAATGTACTCCTCATAACACGCAAACTTGTCTTCGATGATTATGTAGTAAGGATGCTTCGAAAGCAAGTTGTTGAATGCAAAAAAATCTGGTGCAGACACCCTCATTTTGCATATCTCGTTCACATAGTACCTTTGCATCTTATGCCTATCCTCCACTTCTCTTGCGTCTTTATCTGCCAAACACCTTCTTAACAGCTCGTTTCTGTTACGTATATCAATTGCTCTGAAAATCGGCTCAGTGGACAGCTTATACAATCCATCCTTCATCCCTGATATCTTGTATTGCTCAACCAGCCTACCAACAAGGTACTGCGATACTTCTCCATCTGTTATCTTCATGCATGCTCCAATTCCACTCAACACCGTCTTCTTTGGGATGGTAGTATTCTTGGGCTCTAGCCATCTACTTTCCTTAGTGACTGTGTTGTAATAAAACAACTTACCTTTTGCACTTCTGTATTCCATCCATGGATTCTCCGAAAAGTCCTCATCAGACCCCTTCAGAACATCAGGCTTTGCAAAGCTAGATGCTCGTGTCTTTTTGTTGTAGTAATACTCCCTTCCTTGGCCATCACAAAGCACCTCATAGTCACTTTTTGTGGCTTCACTCACACTTTTCATTCACAGGGTGTCCATCTAGATTGCCCAAATAAAACATACATCCTTTATTTACCATTGATATTCTTCACATCCGCACTTTTTGATGCACTTCTGATATTCAACTCGTTGCAGTTGTAGCAATAGAATTCATTCAGGTCATACTCACTTGGATGCACAAGCCCATTGTGATACCTGCACTTCTTGCATATCAATGCATACATCGTTCCAGGATCGTCTCCCAGAACAATATCGGCCACACTGTCTATCATCCGCTTCTTCCTCTGCTTAACACCTTCAAAATAGCTTCTACGCTCAGACTCACTCTCATATTTGTCAATCAGCCTCTTCGTTGCCTCAAAAGACTTATCGTTCTTCAGCATGTCAATCTTTTCCTTTTGTGCATCCCTCATCTCTTCAAGCTCTGCTTCAATTCTCATCGCCCTCATCCTGTACAAACACTTTGCAAAGTATGACACAGAATAACACATAAACCCGCTTCCCACAGCAACAAGTAGCAAGCTCTGCTCCTCAGCATACGAGTATAAAACACATGTTGCAACAACCGCAATCGATACAACGCCACTCCTCATCATGAGGCGCCCTTGTGAAATCCTAATCCCCTTCAGCTTCTTCTCCTTCCTTGATATTTGCTCCTCGAGCTTCATAAGGCTCTGTCTAAGCGGATCGCTTCTTGAGAACACCGTCCCCATCTCAAAGGGCTTCCTCAAAAACACTTTCTCACTTATCACAAACTAAATTTAATACTCATCGACAAAATCAAACACCTCCTCTCTCTTCACCCTCACAGAGTCAAGTGGATACACCAACCGATCTTCATTCTCAGACCTGCACACCGTCTTGTAGTTCCTTAAAAACTCTACTCCGCCCTCCTCAATCACACATACATCAATATTAGATCCTGAGTACAAATCGTTCAGCACTCCAGCCTCAACTGCATCGCATGCAAGCTTGATCGCATCCTCCTTGCACAGATCCGTATATCTGCTTTCAAGCACAGATATGGCTGCCAGCGATCCAGATCCAAGCGAAGTAAACAAAACAGAATTCGACGACCCATGCGGCTGAATGTCATGCAGATGGCATCCCTCATCGTCAACCCCCCCAACAATCAGCGCTGCACCTATTCCTCCTCGGTACTGATGTAGGTAGTGTGTGCATACCTTCACAAGATGAGAAACAAAAGGCAGTCTGTAAAACTTGTTCTCAAACAGCTTTAACCTCTTCGACACCATCCTTGTTACTCTATCTGCGTCTGCCGCAACCCCTGCGCCACAGCACATGATTCTGTCTGTTATCTTGTGGATCTTGAAGCAATTCTTGTCAGAAACAACAGGCCCTTGTGTAGATCTTGTGTCTGCAGCAAGAATAACCCCTGTCTTGTACTTCAGTCCCACGATTGTTGTCCCTGTCTTTGTTATCATTGGGGCTCCTAAAAAGGCTTATTAATTGGCCATGTTTATAAAATAAAAGTTTAACGTTCCCAGAATATATGGAAGCGGAATTCGAGAACAAATTAAATAGCACAAATATAATTGACAAGGCTAGTGGAATTATAATGATTATTTGCGCTTTGAGTATATGGATAGCGATTTTTGGTGTTTGCTTACTACTTATAGTTGTTGTTATATTTAAGCAATTTGAATATTATATTATTATATTTCAAACTAGAGCTGTAAATCTACTCTATTCATTCTTAGATTTGACGAAAATTTATCCGAAAAAGTCACAAAGCCTATTATTATTTGAAATACTAATAGGTGTTTATAAATGCAATCCACATTATGATGATAAAAATCAAACCTTTACGTATGACATTTATGATAACAAGTCTAACAAGATTACAAATTATATCCCTATGGAGGATTTTAGTGTAATATCTGGACAAGGATCGGATATATGCATGCTTGGAGAAAATCATCTTAAGGAGAATGGAAAATTGATAGTGTTTTTTCCAGGAAACGCGTATCATCTTATAGCGGTCTTGGAAATAATAAAAAAATATTTCGAAAGATATAAATCCGATAAAGTATGTGTGGCAGCGATGATATATAGAGGTATGAATGAGAGTTTGACACCATCAGAGAAAAACTTGAAAAATGATATTCAAAATTTTAAAAGAATTATCAAAGAAACCAATCCAAATACAAAATTTATCATATATGGATTCTCCATAGGATGTGCGCCAGCAATACATTTGGCGTCCATAATTGAAAATCCGCAGAATAATTATCATACATTGATAATACAGAATCCATTCAGGAATTTGGGCGCTGCAGTCGAAGGAATAGTGGAACAAATTATTCCGATTCCTAGATTAATAATCGATCTTTTCATAAGTGATGAATGGGACAATGAAAATAAGTTATTACTTGTTAATGATGAAACCAAAATTTATTTGTTTATTTCCGAAGATGATAACGTAATCAAGCCCAAAACGAATCAGTTAGTACTTAACAATCTATTGAGCGAGAAACGAACTTTATTCATTAATTTTATGCCAAAAATTGTGAAAACACCTAGAACTCTTTCTCGTGATTGTTCACGACATAATATTGATATGAGTACTGATATTAACGAAATTATTAATGCTAGTATCCGCCATAATAAATAACGAAGATTTCAAAGAAAAAATCATTAACGTCTCCGATACGGAATCACAGCATAATCATTAAATAGTTAGTACTCGTAATAAATTCATTCAATGTAGTAGCACACAATATCTTTGGCAGTGCATCAGTGAGAGTGCGAATGATAAATCATCATGGAACTCAATAAATATCCTGAAAGAAGCACAAGCAATGCATGCACCCGATTCACTTTCGGATGATTGAACATCGGCGGTATCATCTCTATAGACACCATAAACATTATACTCCCAAGTGCAAGCCCTCGGAACACACTCTTGATTATTGGCTGGTTCAGATACCCAGGTGCTGACCCAAGCATAATTCCAATCGGTGTAAGTGCTGAGTAGAACACTGCAAGCATTAGCCCACTGAAAAACCCCATTCCAGAAGTAAACAGCGGGACGCCAAGTGCAAAAGACTCAAGCATCTTGTGAAACAACAGTCCTATTTCAAGCGACCCAATTCTTTCAATCGAGTTGAATGCCAAACCCTCAAAAAACGAATGAATCGAAATCCCCAGAATAAAAATAAACACCTGTGCCTTCGATGATGCGTTCTTTATGGCATTTGTATCGCAACAGCCCATATTTTCCGACTGTGCCTTTTTTTCTTCCCTTTTCAATGATTCCTCACATTTCATTTCTTCCGCAGTCTTGTTTGCATCTTCAGAACGGTCATGCTCATGCTCAACTCCATGGCATTGATGCGAGTGTGCAATTTCACTGCCTTCGCAATGGTCATGCTTCAAAACAATTGAATCAATTGCCAGCAGAAGTATGAATGACAGTCCTGCTGTAAAGAATGCAAAAATGCTTTGGTTGTCATCATGGCCATGTGTATGCTCATGCCCAATATCGGTATCCGGGCTGGTGCTACCTTCACCGTGATCATGATGCTCCTTGGGCCCATCACAGCTCGATGCCATATGAGGGCTCAGTTCAAGCAGTTGAACGCCAAGCATAAATCCTGCTGTTAAAAGCGTCAAAAACGGAAACACCTTCTTAAACGACCCAGAAGATATCGCTCTTGGTGATATACATATTACCAACGAAATCAAGAACACAATGCTTGCAAACACCATGGAATTAATATTCATTTTCAGGGGCTGACAAAATAGTTTGTTTATTGCTCTGCACATCGATCTCCTTTATGCATTCCGATCTCAGAAAGAATGACTGCTTCATCCCTAATACACTCAAGCATGATTCTATAGATATTTTCGACAGCAGGCACATTCGCAGACATTACTGCAACAGCGATACGTTCGTATATCTTGCATGTGCTTATTCCCAGTGCATTTGCATATCCAATGAATGCCTGTAGCAACTCTATATCCTCTCCAAACACATCAATCGAAAGATTGTATCCTATATTCTTCATCTCAAAGTGCCTTTCTCTCATCTCAAACTTTTCTATGGCTTCTTTGTATCTGCTATACTCTCTTTCTATAAGAACCATTTCCTCTGCTTCGCTTTCTGTCATTGCTCTCCAGTCAGGGACAATTGCATTTTTCATTCTACCACACAATGTGCATCCATACAGATGCAATCTACCGCTAATAGCCTGCAGTTGTGCATGGTATACATCTGCATGAATGCCCATGGATCTAACATAAAATTAAAAAATAATCACGCATTACATGGGTGTTCCCTCACTGTTCAGATGGCTTCAGCTTTCACATAGAGAAACCATACACAACATATCTGAAAGGCCCTCTGTTGACTGCCTGTACCTCGACTTCAATGCAATAATACATACCTGCATCAAGCCAGGAATAGGTTCATATGATGAAATAGAAAAGGATCTGCATGGCACTGTTGGTGACTTTATCGACCACATCCTGAGCAAGGTGAAGCCAAAGAAACTGCTGTACATAGCAATAGACGGGGTTGCGCCAAGGGCCAAACTGTCTCATCAAAGAGCTCGCAGATATAAGTCTGCACTTGGGAAGAAAGATGGGGGAGTTGTAATACCAGCAATCAAGGCAAACCTGATCCCATCAGCCATGAAAAAAGTCAAAAATGGCGACATTGCTGACGAGGAGTTTACCGGCGAAAGCTCATTGTACGACAAGTTTGTTGCAGAGGAGCTTTCCGATGAGTCTTCTGAAGCCGGGATATTTGATCTGAATTGTATTACACCAGGAACAGAGTTTATGGAGCGGCTGCACAATGTTTTGATTGCATACATCCAGCATAAGCTGAGCAGTGACACAGCATCGCAGAATATTAACATTATATATTCAAGCTATCTAGTTCCTGGAGAAGGAGAACAAAAAATAATGAGTTTCATAAGAGGCCAGGGCGTCGACTCAAGGGGGAATGTGCATATGATATACTCTCCAGATGGAGATTTGATTTTTCTTGGGCTGTCGCTGTCTAACAACAAGGTGCTGATCATGAGAGACTACTTCAGCTCAAGCAAGGAACGAAGCAAAAGAATGTGTAGTAGATGTGGAAGAACAGGGCACAACGATGACGAGTGTGGAGTGTTTACACACTACAATTTTGTATATGTAAACATACTTGAGCTCAGAATCAGAATAACCAAAGAATTCAAAAGGCAAATAGGCCATCGGTTTGATGAGGAACGAATGCTGAACGATTGGATATTCCTGTGCTTCTTGCTTGGAAACGATTTTGTGCCGTCGCTTCCATGCCTTGAAATACGGTTCCATTCGATAGAAACACTCTCTGAGGTTCTTGTGAAAAACTTTGCTGAGACAAAGGCATACATAACCAGCAATGGGCCAATCAACTACCCAATCCTCAGGAACTTCTACTGCATTCTTTCCAAGCGAGAAGATGATCTGTACTACCGGAAATCCCAGTCACTCGACAAGTTCCGTGAGGAAATAAAAATAGTACCGGATGTTCCATACGAAAAGATCCCAATACATACAAAGGCAGGGAAGATTCAATACTACTCATCAAAGCTGAATGCACATACTGAGGCAGATATACGAAACGTGTGCTATGAGTACATCAAAGGGCTTACTTGGATATACTCATACTACATCTTTGGATACACTGGATGGGATTGGTACTACCCGTATCACTTTGCACCTCTTGCGACAGATCTGGCAAAGGTGTTTGTTGAAGATATTAGCATTACACCAGGAATTCCTCTCAGACCTATTGAGCAGCTGTTGGTTGTTTTGCCTCCGATGAGCAAAGACATGGTTCCCAGCAACCTACAGTTTGTGTTCGAGAAGTACAAGGAGCATTATCCAAGCGATGTCAAGACAGACATGTTTGACAAGGTCCATGCGTGGCAAGAGATCGTGATGCTGCCATTCGTCGACTTTACAAGCATTCTTTCAGAAAACTCATTGGCATTCAACACACTTTCATACGAAGACCTGTCGAGAAACCTCAGAGGTTCTGATCTGATTTTTTTGAAGGAAGGGAAAGCCGTTGATGCAATCATTGGCATGTACATGGGGCTAAAGCCAAGCTGCATTGTGAATAGCCGCGGATACTCAGGCAGCGTCACTCCATACGCATTCGCAAGCTTCCCCGGCGATCATCTGCAATACAATGGAAAGTCTTTTGTTAATAAGGCTGTTGTTAGCTCAATCGAACCAAAGCATTCGAAATCTAGGAATTAAATATTATTTAATCAAACTCTTCTTGATCAAACCGTATTGTTTCTAATGTTCCATCTTCGGTGCTCAGAACCACAACCTCGTGCTGATTACTGAACCGAGGTATTGTAAAAAACAGCGATCCTTCAGAATCGGATCTTCTACTGGCAAACCCAGGCGCATCGCCACAACAAACATACTCCATCCTATTCGTAATTACAAAAGGATCCTGCTCACAAAACGGAGCACATGCCAGGGTATCAGGTGCAGTAGGACAGATATGCCCTGCCTTCATAAGAACCTCCATTGCATGTATGGTGTTCAATGTATGCTGTGCATCCAAGTCTTGCTTTTCATTGCGTACCACACGCTTCAGCTCACTCTCATTCACATGCATCTTGTACTCAAACCCTTCTCCTTGTATACTTCCAATATTTCGAGGCATGTATTTCAGTAGATCATCAATAATAAACTGTGTAATCACCAGTCCTTCTTTTCCGTTCATATCCACCCTGCATGGATTCGATAGGCATTCTACTGCCGCATCAATTAGCTTTGGATGGACAGGCACCAACGGCAGGACTCTCGCTCCAAAGTCTCCCTTGTTTGGAATCAAACGAACATTTGCGCCAGTATACCTCACAACATCTCCAAGACTCGCCAGCATATTCTTACTGACCTCGCTCCTGCTTTCAAAAAAGTTTCCTATCAAAAAATACTCTTTCACTCCGCCCCGCCGCAGGTAATCAATTATCACCTTCATCCTTGCTACACAGCTATCAGCATCCACTAGAACTCCACTTGCAAAGCAGATTCTTCCATTTACTGCATTCTTCTCAGGCACATCAGGAATTCTTCTTGGGCTCGAAAAAGGAAGCACAAGGTCGTCTGCAATAAAAGTTCCTGTTTCTGATTGCCTCCCCACCACTCCAACACACATCCCTGTGCTTACAACAAAATGCCTCCTATAAATCTCTCCGGAATCTCGTAGCTCAAGCTCAATCCTGCCGCTTCCGTCCTCAAGAAAATACCTTACATCCCTCGAATAGTACGTAAACCTCCCCACCTTCTCAACATCCTTGCTCCGTCTTCCAACCATGTCAAAAATACTACTCTTCAGATCACTAGATATATACAGCGTTCCAATCACCACACACTCACCTCCATTCAATCCTTCCACCTCTAAAATACTGTTCAGCACTCTTGTCCTTCCCTGCTCCACACTAGACTTTGCTATGCCCGTCCGTAGCTCATTAATCCTTGCATCATATATCCTGTTGAACTGGCTCTCGTAACTCACTGTCATTTCCATGGCCATGCTCAACTGCGCTTTTTATCCCACTCAAAATCTCCACATCCTGCAGCTCAACGCCATTCATCTTTCAAAGTGGATATATAGCTCATCCACACTCTCATATACCTCGCTCAGCACAGGCACATCAAACGGGAAAAAATACAAACAGTCATAATCATAGCTGCAAAACACCTTGCACTCGTATCCATACATCTCACAAAACATCCTTACTACATTCTTGTTCATGCATGCAACCACACCCAACGAAAACATCCATTCTATCTCATCTCTCGCATCACACACAATCTTCCTCATAAAGCATGACATGTACAAGAGGCACTGACATGCCAATACCACTTGGATGCTCTTCGTCCTCTTCAATCCCTTTACATACCTCACATACTCATCAACAACACCTCTCTTAACCTCCTCATCAAACTTGCATCTTACTACAAGCGACGATAAATACGGAAGAAAAACAGTCGGGTTTTCATCCACCATCTCAAACAAAAACTTAAAAACACTCAAAGGCTTAACACTACACACTCTAAACAAAAGAAACTGCACATTCAATGTCTTCGACACAAGCGGCTTCCTAAACGCATCCAGTACATCTTCGGTCCCAAACTCACAGATCACCCTGTCAAGACGCCCATAAGCAAATAGAAACACCCTAACCGCTTCCCTTAGCTTTGCATGCTCTCCCTCTATGGGCGTATCATACTCAGACACAACCTCGTCCCATTCATCTTGCTCCAGAATCCCGTGCATCACACTGATATATGCGTCCAGTCGCGTCAACTCTTTCACAAGACTCAAAAGCGCAGGTCTTGCAAGCAGTCTGTCTCTTACGCATGCCACCATTCGGTCAACTGCAGCCAAGTCAATCGGGCCTCTCTTCAATCCTTCTAGAAACTCCAGTCTTTCCCTATACGTTAGTGCCATGGGCATTAAAAAAACATCGGTTTTCTTCACGCAATAACATCACACTTGCTTTATTAATATTCGCCAGCATCACTGTAACATTTCCGCTCCCTCTTCAGCTCATCATAGTATTTCATATGCCGCTCCAGGTTCTGCCTTGCTCGGTAGTACAGCATCCTAAACTCTTCAAACACCATCGAAAACGAATCAATCAGAGGGATCGATATCCTCTCCAGCAGCCTTATGTCCTCGTGTATCTCTCTCAATCCTCTTGCATATCCCTCCACATCCCACACCTCAGACCAAAATAACTCCGAATTCTTGTTAAAAATTTCATACTCCTTGTAGCATGCACTCAGGTCTGCCAGCTTCATCATCATCTTAAGCTCTATCTCTCCCACCTCTCTGCTCTTCGCATTCCTGGCCCTTCCCTCTTCGCCATCGACAATATACTTCAAGTCAAACTCATCTATCACTTCCTTATTCATTCTCAGGTCAGTTGCAAATATCAGCCTTCGTATAAGCCCAATGCACTCATCAGCATCTGCTCCCTCCATCCCTCCAAACAGCTCTTCCCTGTACTGATCAACCACCTTATGACTAATTGACGCATGGATCTCCTCAAAAGACATCGCCTCTTTCTTGCATCCATACATATCGCAAACCGTTCCAAGCTCTTTCCTGCTCGGCTCTCCAGGATGCCCAATATCATGTAGACACAAAGATATCATAAAGCAAACCCTTTGCCATATGCATGTTCCATCTCGCTTCTCAATCTCCCTCAGCACAAACCCTCCAAAGCACAGTGTATTGGCTAGGTGATCAAGGTTGTGATACATCTGTGGCAGCGAGTATAATAATGCAGACGCAAAAAACTCATCGAGCATCGCCTCTTCATTCTCAATACGCCGGTCACTCATTATCATCTCCCTTCCAAGCATTATCCCAGCACTTAACGTTACCTTTTCTGCGTGAAACAAATAATGTGAAAACTTATTAGCTGCATCATCCTTGTCCATCTGCTGCTCGAATGCCCCAGCTCCATTCATAACCATCTCGCACACACTTGCTACTCCTTCATCTATCATATACATTGCAAAACACTCTCCAGGGCTTTTGCGCCTTTCATTTCTTTGACTTCCGTTATTACTGCACTTCCTTTATTATAGAAGCACTTAATCTATCCTATGCATAGCATGCATCTGGTGCAGATAGCCGTTACAAATGCACCTCTTCCATATATAATGTCATCACTGAAAATCAACAGATTCCTGCACACATTTGCTTATACAGTAGAAAAGCTGAAGTTCTTGTGCTCATTCATAACAACCGACATTCCAAACATGCTTTTGAAAACCTGGACTGCAATAATGTAATCTGGGGCCTCGAGATCAACCTTAAGGCAAATATTCTTCGTTATCACATCAAAAACCCTTTTCTTCACTCCTGCACTGCACATTCTCTCCTCATACACAATCTTATAGCTTTTCCCATGCTCTAGTCCCTGTATTCCCTCAGCAATCCTTGCATCGTCGATCGGGAAAATCCTCTCGAGTGGAATCACCCGATGTACATACTCAAATGCTGCATTCGCTTCTCTAAGCTTGTTAAATAGCGACACAGAGGATTCGTGGCTTTTATTCTCAATAACAAGAATGCACCTGTGCTCCATCAGTTTGGCAAATTTCGAGTGGTTCTTGTACTCGTCTATTTCATCCTTTAACTGCTCTTCAAGACTACACACCCGCTGCCTCTTTACAGACGGCTCTACAAATGCTTGCAGCTTGCTTGTGATTTCCCTAAGTCCTTTCTGCTCTTTACTCTGACGGCACGATACAAAAAATCCTTTCTTCATGGGCTTGCCATCTCCACATACGTATCTCTTGCATGTACTCCCTGCAATCATGAGCAGGCTTGACTGGAAGGATGCCAGGATAGTCGACCAGACAGTTGAGATCCTTGGCCCAAAAGAAAGCCTGTATACAAAGACACCTGGGCCGATCAGTGCAGAAAGCAGAGACTTGTCGTATTTTCATGTTGTGTCGCAGAGCCAATCCAGAAAGACAGTGGCTGGGCTGTTTGGATACGGGTCTGCTGGAAAGACAACACTTATTAAGACACTTGGCATGGCATGCAACATTCGTGGAGCATCTGTGCATGCTCCTACAGAAACACTGTACGAAAGGGAAAGAGAGGCCACACTGCATGTGCATCCAATGGTTGCATTTTTATCAGGCAAGCACACTCCATCGCATGTTCTCACGCTTATCGACACTTCAGGCCATGCTGACATGATATTTCGGACCATTCAGATGATTGAGTGTGTTGATATTGCAATTGTACTGATTGATGTAACAGGGCATTTGTCGTTGTGCCATAGGGTTCTTCTCGATGCAATTAGGATGAGCGGGAAACCTTCTGTTGTGATTCTGAACAAGATTGATGCGATTGCGGATGATAATGTGAGTTCTGCAGAGAAAGTGACGAAGGCTTTTATGGATTTGATCTGTAATGCATTAGGATCAATACCATGCCTTATTGCATCACTCAAGAATGGTTGGATCAGAGTGATTGATGGCCCATTTGACAACATACTAGCGGATGGAATATCGAATGGCACTAAGAAGCATGCATGGAATGATGTAGCCGACGTGCTTGTGGGTATTATATCAAAATCAATGAGTAACTGTATAAAGCAAAAAGGTTTGACGAGCATATTGGGATTTACGTTGTTTGAGGATGTTGTTTTGTGTAGCTTGATTGCAGATGAAAAAGTGTGTGCTGGATCGTTACTGGATGTAAATGGGAAGGAGATGACGGTTGAGAACATTTATATTCCTGTGTGTGGGTGTTTAGTTGAGACTGATTGCATTGGAAGTGGAATAGGTGTTTTGATCAGATTTGATCAAGATGAAGTGTTGAGTACTTCGCACGCCAAAACTGGATATTCTGCCGAAAACATTGTGAAACTGATTGAATCAGAGCTGTGCAGGCTGAGTTTGCTTGATATGCTGAAGCCACTAAAAATGGCAGGATGCTTGGAAGGAGTTATCAAGGTAAAGGTATCTGCTGATGACCAAAGCTTGTTTGAAAGTGGAATAAAGAAGCTGAAAATAGTGTATTATGGACTGACATATCATACAGATGTTCTTGGAGGGCCTGGCGAGGCGTTTCTGGATGCTGTATTGCATGATCTAAGAGCTGTACTGGGGATCAGGTTTGAGGTTGTTGCTGTGTTCTGCGATTTGAAGGAAGCTATTGTGAATGAGTTCGAGATGGATGGTGAAAGTAATGCTGCATTCAAGATAAATGGATATGCGAATGGCAAAGCTGATTGTAATCAGTTTAAAGGAATTGAAATGCTTGTGAACATTGGGCCTGTGCTTGGTAAGCAGCTTAATAATTCATATGTAGAGGTGTTGCATAGAGATTATAATGAAAAGGCTTACTTGAGTACAGAGCATGCAAGCAAAGGGCTACTGAATGAAATACTTGATGTGGTTAAAAGCAGCACAAAGTTTCTAGAGCCAATGTGTCTGATGGAGATAGTATACATGGAAGATGCAAAGGAGTTAGTGTGTGAAATGATCTGTATGTCTAAAGGGCAAACCATGTATGAAAGCGTGGCTGCGCCAAGTGGAATGAGAAGCAGAATGTGCCTGCTTCCAATTGCAGAGTGTTTTGGATTTGAAAGCGATCTTAGGAATTATTCTTGTTGCTTAGCAGACTGCACAATGATCCCATTCTGCTGGAATGTCTTGGACGATGTAGCAAGGCTAAACATATACACCCAGTTTATGGATACAATCAATAGTATGCATAAAGAGCAATGCACTGGCTGTGCATCATGCGCTACAAACTCAACTGTTGCTAATCATGCGCTATAAAGCGTATTAGCAAAGAAGCAAAATATCATGATATAAAGCCAGGATTGCAAACAATAAAATATTAAGAAGGCAAACTCATCAAAAATCTTTACTTAACACCACAACAGCTATTTTCTAATTCCACTCTCAAGCACAGTAGCCCTGTAGCTCTCATAGATTTCGCTTGCAGTGTAGTCTATCAACCCATTGATGTGCGTGCTAAGTAGCAACTCCCTGAGCGCAGCAACATCACAATGCGACGAGTTATCTATGTTTATATCTCCCCACTTGCAGCTCTTTACTCTGAGCTCCGGGCTTGCCTTGTTTGCTGATATGATGAGGAACGGAACCAGCCTGTTCAGATTGTTCGCAACTGATGGTGTAGCACATAGGTCTGGATCGTCCAGATCAAACATTTCAATGCCATAATACTTCATTTGCTCAGTCACCCTCTCCTTCATCTCGGCTCTTTCAAGAACACTTAGCCCATCCGCCTTACTGATCACAGGAATGATATTCACAAGCCCAGAAACCTTTTTCAAAAACATTATGTCCTTGTCCTTCAATCCTGAAGACGTCGATGGAACGAAGTAAAGCATGCAATGCACCCTTGTGTCTTCATACTTTGGATTCCTCCGGATCTTGGATTCCTCCGCAATAAACATGTCAAGCTGTGCCTTGATAAAGTCACATATGGTTTCCTGAAGCCCAGAGTCATCGAGCGTCTCTCCAAATCCTGGCATGTCTATCAGAGTCATCCTCTGAGAAACCCCTTCGCAGTCAAGATTCAGCATGTACAAGTCAATCTCCTCCTGTTTCTTTGATGAAATTATTTGCTTTCCAATCAGAGTGTTGAAGAACGACGACCTTCCAGACCCCTTCTCTCCCACTGCCATCAGTGTGAATCTCCTGTTCTGTTTCTTTACAATCATCTTGTTTGTTTATCTGCAAGAATATATTTATACTTCATCATAATATACGCTCAGAGCCCTACTCATACACATCAGCATACTTATTCTACGCATGAAATACAGATCTAAAATGTACATTCAGCAGGCCACATGCATCAATTGCTTCCTTTGTGTTCATTTTGAATTCCTTGCATGATGCTGTTCCATGCAGTGCCAGATATACAACCTCTTCTGAGTTTATTAGGCATGCAATCGTTAAAACAAGGTGCTGGTGCCCTTCTTCTATAGACGACAGGTCAATACAGCCCTCTGCAATCGTGCATGAATAGCACAGATCAATTATTGGAAACCCAAAGTATGACAGAAATAGCGTAATGCAGTTAACCATTGCAGAAAGCAACGACCCGCCTTCTTCTCGTACAACAACTCTGAGTCCAAGCCCAGAATCAAGCAAGACAATCCGACTGAATATATCAACAAGAATATTCTCGTACTCCTGTACCTTCTTCTCAGTCACAGCCTCTTGCCTTGAAACACACAGGAACTCAACCACAACATTCAGCTTTTTTCCTTCCTTTGCATTTCCACACTCCACAGACACCTGGGTGTTTCCTTGCCGTAGCTCCATCCTACCAGAGTCCTCAAATACGCTCTTGACTACTTCTATTCTTCGAAACTCCCTCTGCTTTCTTCCATCGTCTCTGAACCCTTCCTCTGAAACGAGCATGGATTACAGTTCGATCTGCAATTTGTATTTGCATGCGCATGAATTACAGCTAAAAGAGCAATTATGCACTTCCCTTCGCACATGAGCCAAGAATATCACATGTGCAAAAGAAATGCCGATACAAAATGCATCAAAGGCATCGTTAGCATATCAAGAAATCTCGAGATCCCACAGAAAACGGCATATCTGGCATTGGGAATCTACTACAAGCACACACTTGATTCAAAATGCACGAAAGTAGCCGCAGCAGGGGCTGCATGCATCATGCTGGCCGGAAAAATCAATGGATCGCTAAGAACCCTTGAGCAGATCCTAAGGGCTAGCCACAGGTACTATGGAATCAACTCAGAAAGCACATTCAAGCAAGATTATGAAGATGCCATAGAAATCGAGCTGCATGCATGCATTTTGATAGACTTCGACTTTAGCACAAACGATCCATACAGGCTTCTCAAGGCATTCTGTACAGAAAACCACATTCCTAAGCAAAAAGCACAGACTATATGGGCTATACTGAACGACTCAGCATGCATCCCTCTTCAGTTGGCGTTTTCGTCCAGGATAATACTAATGAGTTGTGTGTTCATTTCAGAGCTCATAGACAGCCATGACATGAATGTCTCTTCATTCAAACAAAAGTTCGGGTTCAATGGCATCCAAGATATCGAAATCAATTTTATTTCTGAAGAGATCGTTTCAATGTATGAGAAGCTAGTGTAGATAAAAATCATTACAGGCCGCTCATACCATCCAAAATCCCGTTGAAGCAATACATGTGGCAGGTGCTTCAAATGCTGCTCGTGTGATAATCCGCATTGCGATTAAACAGGATATGTCTTCTGTAGATGCTACGATGTTCAAATATCCTTGCCACAGCTATCAACCCATGCAGAATACACATCTATTCCTGTTGTAAGTTTATCTATGTCACACATAAAGCTTGCCTCGCATACAGAGCACCTTGCGATCCCCTTCATCTGCATCTTCTTGATCACACACTGCACAACATTCTCGTGGCTGCACATCGGGCAGTTGAAATGCCTTTCAAGCTTTGCCTGCCTTCTGGGCATATTGATTTTCCTCCGTGCCTTCTTCCTACCCATCCTACAATACAAGGGATGCTGCAATCCAATTAACCACATCTAATGCCAATTCACACACGCCCTCGATGGAAATCGTAACTGAAGAAGAAAGCGATATAGAAGTGCTTGAGCTTCAAGGCGATGTCGAAAACATGGACACATTCGATGGATGCTTCAACAAGGATCTTGTGCAGCTTGAGTTTCCCACATTTATATTGCAAGGAAGAAAGGTCCACAAGGAGCTAAGCATTCTTCAAAGAGACATTGTCAACAGTACTCCCTGCATAAAGCTGGTAAGGAAGCTCAAGACAGTCTATCTATTTGACAAGCCACCAAGATATAGAAGATGCATCGTAAACAGCAACAAACAAGCAAAAGATCCGTTCTAAGCATACTTGCATACTATACAGTCCTCATCTTTTTCAAGAAGATGCTTCTTGATAATCAGCTCATTCTCTCCACTGTAGAATATAAAGTCATAGGCCTCCTCTGATGAGCACAGCATTTCATATGCCAAGCTTGCACAGATAGAATTAATAAAGCACACATTTGGTATTATGCTATCATACATTCCAAAAACCTCAAACTCGTTAGTGCTCAGCTCGTTCGATGAGATCGCATTGAATGAATCAACTATTCTCTTAACTGCTCCTTGCTTGTCAGCAGCTCTCATATTGTCCAATGCCATATCTCTTTCGATTTCCACCATCGATCTCAGCACTGCATTTCTATTTTCTGGCGTAATATGCACAGGCACAGACCTCATCATGCACATTCCAGGATCATTCGCTTCATACAGGTCCTTGATGCAATACAAGCATGCCAATCCTTTGCGCACCATCTTTGCATGTGCCTTATATCCACCAATTCCACAATCTATCAACACTTTGCATTCAGACCTCATAAACATCAAGTTTAAGTCCATTCTTGTACCAACATTATCCACTGCACAAACCAAGGCATCATATCGGCTTAGCAGGCAGATGTCTACTTCTTGTATCCTTTTTGTGATAAACTCAGCCTCTTCTCCATACATCTCGTTGATTACTTCAGCAGCTCTTTGAGACTTGTATCTGCCCTCGTCCGCCCTTGTAAACATACAAGACCTGTGCAGGTTGCTCAATGCAATCCTGTCATAATCCACAACCAGCAGCCTGTTGCCTCTCCCTGCAAGCAGCTTCAAAAGCTCAATCCCTGTTCCTCCACATCCTTAAATTAAAAACATCACATACCTACTATCACAACCCTCATCATGAAAATTCACAGCTCCGCATTTCAACTTGTAATTACAACACATTTAATCAATTCTCATCTTAGCTGCATCACTACACAGTTTTCGTACAATGCATAAGCTACAAGCCACACATGTATATCATTGGCTCATCATCGGAATTAAGTAACCTCTTTTACTTCAGGATACATCTGCATCACATTCTCCTGTGCCTCAATCAGAATCAAAGCCTGCTGCACAACAAGCATCTCTTCATATCTAACTGCATATCTCAGCCCTGCCTCATATACTGCTTTGCTATTCTTGTCGTTCCTACTCAGAAGAACTCCTCCCAGATACACATACGGCTTGAAATACCGCTCATCCAGCTGTATTGCTGTTCTAAAACTCTTTTCTGCCTCATCAATTCTTCCCTGTGCCTGCAGCACAACTCCCTTCAACAGGAACGTTCTGGGATCCGCCCCATGGCTGCTCTCCATCTCTGTAAGTATATCTGCCGTCTTTTCAAAATCCTCATTCTTCAAGTAGAACTCGCATCCAATCGTCAGGATAAGAATGCTCGAGCAATGCCTCCTTAATCCTTCTTCAACAGCACTACCTGCTGCCTCGTTCCTTCCTCTCCCAACCTCATACACTATTCTGTCTACATACAAAAAGTCATAGTCACAAACACACATTGCCTGGCTAATCAGCCTTTCATACCTTTCGTTATCCTTCATATGTAGATATGTCTTGGCTGCATAGAATAGTACTCCTACACTCCTGCTGTTCTGTGACACAAAGTCATCAATATCCATCGGGACACGCCCATGAACTGCTTTTAGGTATTCTCTTAATCCAACCGAGTATATCATCTTCTCTTCCTCAAGCAGTGAAATCGCAGCTGCATCCTTGCCCTCAGCATATTTCGCCAGTGCTGCAACAAACTTCGATAATGGATCACTCCTGTCCTCAGCCATCGCAATCGCATCTTCATATCTCCCTTTTCGCACCAGCTCAATCACCTCATCACTCACAAGCGATCCACTTCCAAAAAGATCAGGAAACGTGCTAAACAAGCCTTCATACACAATCCTCGACACCCTACCCTCAAAACTACCCATTCTTCTCTTCACCTCCACATCCGCTTCGTTCCTTAGCATTTCTTGTGCTTGCTTCCTGTATCTTTCCTCTTTGGTCACCAATCCACACACAAAAACATCGTACAATGCTTGTCTCTTCATCCCAAGCACTTTGTGGCATTCATACTTCAATCTCAATGCCCTTTCGTTGTTCAGCACATTCAAACCCAGCGACTTGTTTGCATACACAAGTGCTTCGTTATATGCCTTAATCCTTACAAAGCACATTGCCAGATTGTTGTAAACACTAACCGCCGCATTGTCTTTCCTCTCCAGCAGCTCCAGACAGCGTAGATAGCAAACAATTGCCTCCCCATACATCTTATCCCTCATACACACAAAGCCCTTGTTCACATACTCATCCAGCATTTCCCTTTTCCTTCTACTTCGCTCCCTTGCCTTCAGCCCTTGATACACAAACATCAATCCAGAAACCACAGCAACGGCAAGAAACGCAGTTGTTTGCTTCCTCATTGTTGGGATTCATTTTTTGCTTAATTTACTTCTTACCGCCATACATTATGCAATGCGCTCGAGCATACAGCACTCTAATATTTAGCCATATCGGCTCTGATATGCACAATTACACACCTCCAACTGTTTGCAGATGTGCATCTCCATCCTCAATCGCATACATCTCGTCATACTTCGATAGAAATCTCGATCCGGCTCCTCTCAGTGCTGCCTTCAGTTCGAATCTTTGCTCGTCATTTGCTTCAAACACAAACTCCAGGATCACATCCTTGATCTCATCAATTTGTTGCTCAGGTGCAGCCTCCCTGTGCTTGCATATCACAGATACCAGCAGTGCATAGTATTTATTCTCGATGCAGACTGACATGTCCTCAAACGTCCTGCAGTATCCCAGAATCATGGCTCTTGATGCCAGCGATACGTATACTGCTTCCAATTCATGAAAGTTGTTATGTATGCCTTCTTCTGCAACAACACATTCAATCAAGTATGTGCCAATCATTCTTAGCAGCTCGACAGATATCTGTGCTTCCCTCATAAGAATAACATGCAGAAACGACAGAATGCTTGGATCAAAGCACACAAATCCATCGCTGAGCTTCATCATCAGAAACTCCACAAAAATACGCAGTCCTTCACTGCATGCTCCACACACATAATCAGATATCATGCATCTGAGCCTTGCAAGGCGTTGATCGTTGCTTTTTGTGTCCATCAGAAACAAATCTCCAAGAACACTCCATCTTCTTTCCGTATGCATCTGTTCAAATGACTTGATAAAAAGATATACTGACGCCAACAGCAATTCTGGGAATGCCTTGATCGACCCTATAAACAAGGACATGTAGGATACATGCTCTGCATTGGCAAAGAAAGCGCCATCAAACACAAGTGGTAGGCACTCGTGTTGATTTCCAGGATGGCACACGAACACAATTAAGTCGTCCCAATGTATCTGTGTTTTCAAATCGCCAAGCACGTTGAATATCTTTGACGGATGGCAGGCACTGGTTATGTCGTTGTAGAACACAATCCTATCAAGCTCAAGATCATCTTCTACTGCCCTGCATGCATAGAGTGATTGCATGCTTCTATACTTTGCAGAAAGGAACCTGTCTTTTATGTGGCTTGATTCGTGCATTGCCAAGTAATCCATCTGTGGAACGCTGATGCCATGAATTACAGAGTATGCATACGAAAAGTCAGGTGTCTCTCCGACGGCATGATGGATTGCTGGCAATATCTCCAGTGCACATATTGCAGCAAAGACCTCTTCATAAACATTTGGCATCTTTGTGGCGAATGCGTTGAGGCCAAACACGATGGTTTTCAGCAGTCCCCTGCACACTGACTTTGAGTCTTCGTTCATCTCAAGTCCTGCAAGTATGTGGATCGTGGACAGCACCTCTTCGGCATCATGCTCGTTTATGAATGCAAAGCTCAGGCAGTTGGTGATGATTCCTGAGAGGTATACCAGGAGAGATATGATGTATGTGTGTTTCTGTGAAACCGATTGTGGGATGTACACAATGACTGCTTTAAGTGCAATGCAGCATGCCACAAGATTCTTGTCGATGATGTTGTCTGTTGCATATGCAGTCAGTCGTTTGAATACCGGGAGCAGGCGCTTGAAACACATTGATGGATTGTCGAGAAGCAGCATTGTGAATCCGATTTCTCTATGGCTGAACCTGCAGCTGAATATTCGCTTTATGATTGATTTGTACAGGTTGTATGCCTGGCTGTATCCAAAGTGCTTCCGATAGTACTCAAGGTCTATGGACGATGGGCTGAGCTCTGATACGCAGCATACAAAGTCTTCGATGTCCACAGGAATGATGGATCTTTTGACAAAGTCTGCCATCGCTGCACTGAATTCGGTGTGGAATATTGTTTGTGAGCGACTGTACTGCTTGAAGAAGCCTCTGAGCTGGTCTAGGATCTCTTTGGATCCTTGAGCAGGTTCAAGAGGGATGTTGGTGAGCAAGAAGTATTTGATGTACACGTCATTAATTGAGAGGATATCGATAACTGACAACGAGTTAGTATGCAAAGTGGTTTCTATGATCAACTTTGTGCTGTTGTGTGTGTAGAAGTCCAGATCATGTCTTACTGCCATGGAATGCTGTGCATTGACGAATTTGAAGAGTAGAGCACCAATGAGAGTCGGGCAAGTGCATGCAACAAAGATGTTTCGGAGATGGCAGTGGCGTGTCTTACAATATGCAGCTGAGCAGCTTTTTTATTTGCATGGCTGTGCATATGAATTGAAAGCATGCTTGCCCTTGGATGACGGTTGACAGGCCTAGTAGGAGCAGGGGCGAGTTGCTCGAGAAGAAGATATACAAATCGGCGCTTCTGGAAACAGTCGAGGTTTTGAACAAGAATGCGGATGAGAAAGACTCGTGCAAGAAAAAGAAGCGTAAATCAGTTGATGAAGAGGCATCTGGTGAGAACGGCATACCATGGATAATTAAAAAGCCAAAAGTTGATCCGTATAGGACAACAGAAAAGAAACAGAAAAGAAACCAAGAAGCAAAGGCAATGCATATCCAAAAGAGACAAGGCAAGCAAGATACTAAGCATTATGAGAATATCCAAACCGAGGAGCATTCAAAGAAAACACGAAAAGAAAGGAAACAGGAAAAGATGAGCGGAAGAGGACATGGAATATCTTCCAAAGAGTACTATGAAAAGTTTGTGAAGAAAGAAAGAAGTACAAATGTTCAGAGTGCACGTAATTCCGATAAAAAACAAAATTCTGATGCAAATGATCAAAGGTCTAGCAGAGATTCGTTTGCATCTAAACGGAAAACAGACTTTCCGGCCAATGCCAATGCCAAGGGACGGCAGGGATCGAAATCAAATGATGGCAAAAAAAGAAACACAAGTCACAAAAAGAGGTGAGAATATTAGTGGCCTGATACTTCAGTAGTTTATTCCTGGAATTAAATCTGCCTTCGGCTTTTTTCTATCTATGATGATTGATTTGGCTCCTGATAGTTGTATATCATCTTCCGTGTCTGGTTTTACAATACAACAGTTTATCCTGCTTACATTGTCCATTATGCATATTTCCAGGCTTTCTACAGCTTCAAAGTACATGCATGGCTTACTATCTGCCCAGATTTTCAGCCGTGCCTCCGTGCATGCGTTCTCTGCAAGCACATTGATTGAGAACCTGATTGGCATTTTGTCATCCACTTCAACAACAGAGGGCACAGAAACCCTATAGATCGATACCTGGATAGAGCCGATATCTAGATCCTGGATGTACCTTACCATTGCATTAACATCGCTTGCGATCGATATGTTGAATCCCGGCACGCAAAACAAATACGGTATTCTTCTCAGTATTCTGCATCCATTTCCATTCATGAGCTCGCACATTCCTTTGTAGATATAGAAAACAAGCCAAGCCTGCTTTCCCTGCCTAAGCATGTCTTTGAACAGTCGATCATACATCCTCTCAATTCCCAGCTTACCCTTTTGCTTCCCATTATTACGAATACCTGTACCAGGATGCATGTCGCATTCTTTCTCAGTAATGAATTGGCAAATAATGTCTTTGCAAAACTGATAGTTGTCGCAAGCAGTCTTTGGATTTTTGCTCTCCATCATCTCAACAAACAGGAAGTGATCAGAAATGTCCTTACTGACATCGATTCTGTATCCAGCCTTGCACAACTCTCTCAAAACAACAAGCCTTGTGATGTAGTATGGATCGTCTAGTGAGCACTCTACTCTGGCAATCGATGTACGAACATAAAACTTCGCAAGATCTGCAAAAAACACCTTTGAATTCCTCGAAACCATCCTCTTCACGGCACAGTGCACCTCTTTTGGCTCTATGCCGTCCTTCATGCGCAGCATCAAAATATCATACACCATTGTGCTTTCATATCTCAGGTTAGAAAGCAGACTCAAAATGTTTAGTCTGATTCTATCATTCCTTTCCCTTAATCCTTCAGATATCTGTGCAGTTATTTCTTCGTCGACCATCAGCTCGTATTTTTTGCTAAGCATTACCAGATACTCTGTGCATGCCACCCTTAACCCCTCATCATCATCGTTCAGCGAGTCCACCAGGAAGTCAAACGCTTGAGACACTGTTCCATGCGTAGTAAGCTCATAAACAGCTCTTACGGTGTTTCTGCGCACGTCGGAATACTCATCTTCAATCCCATACACAAGAGCCCCACACACATCCTCCTTCCCTTCCTCTATCTGCTTTGTTAGCATCCTTTTCATTGCCTCCTCATCTATCCACTTGAATCCTCCTATTGCCTTCGATGCAAATTCCCTCAGGCAGTGCTCCCTATCCCTCATAAAGATGCATACTGCCTTGAGTATCTTCATCTTGTGTTCTTCAATGCTTGCAAACTCCACAAGCCGCTTTAGTGCTGCAAACCGCACCCCAACATTCTCATCCCTTGCCTGCTTGATTAATGATCCCACAGCAACCGTTCTGCCCTGAAATAGGTATGCTTCTCTAACTATATGGCACGGATCGTTCTGCAGCAGCATTGCCTCATCATCAGCAAACCACCTTTGATGCATACACAATGCAATTTTCCTGACCTTCGAGCTTCTGTGAGTCAAAAGCTTTCTGATAGCATCCACATCAAAGCACACCTTATCAAAGGCATTCTCAAGATATACAGCAACATGGTGATCGTTGCATTCTTCGTTGCACTCGTCGGAGCGGTATCTTTCCAAAGGCTTCAGGCTTCCATCGGCAGCATCCGTCACAATTTCATTCAGCATCTTGCACTCGGTAAGCTCGTGCTCATCAAATATTTGTAGTCCTGGCAGCATGGGCAAGTGCATCCTCCCACAAAACACATAAAAAGCACCAGCTGACTGCATCCCATGAACAATCCCACCCAAATAAAGGACTTGTGCGCAAAGGTCAAGGAAGACATCTCTTTCAGCAAAGAGGTTCGTGGATTCGACTTCGAGAGCGGATGCACTCTTCAAGCACTCATTGCCTCGTTTGAAACCACGGGCTTTCAGGGATCCAACCTTTTCAAGGCAATCAACGAAGTTGAGAGAATGAAGAATGCAAAGATCTTTTTTGGATGCACAAGCAACATCATCAGTTCTGGGCTCAGAGACATCATAGCAACATTGGCAAAGCGTAAGTGTTTCAATGTGCTGGTAACAACAGGAGGGGGAATAGAGGAGGATCTCATCAAAACATTCAAGCCAACATTCTGTGCTGACTTCAGGCTTGATGGAGAGCAGCTAAGGGAGAACGGAATTAACAGAATAGGGAATCTTGTTATTCCAAGCAAGAACTATGAAGAGTTTGAGACATGGATCAGCAAGGTTATAGATGACCTGACCGAAGGATATTCGGAGCAGAGCCCGCGAATTCTTACGCCTTCTGCATTCATAAGAATACTTGGAGAAAGAATAGCAGATGAGTCATCTGTTCTGTATTGGGCAGCAAGGAATAAGATTCCGGTGTATTCGCCAGCAATTACTGATGGATCGATTGGAGATATTCTGACATTCCACAAAAGAAGGCGCATGCTAAAGCTTGACATTGTTGAGGATGCATATCTCATGAACTGTGAAGGCATGACATCGCAGGAAACAGGCGCCATTATCCTGGGGTGTGGGCTGGTTAAGCATCACATCCTGAATGCAAATCTGTTTAAGGATGGCCTTGAGTATTGTGTGCTGATTAACAATGCACAGGAGTTTGATGGAAGCGATGCAGGAGCCAGCCTTGAAGAAGCGGTTAGCTGGGGGAAAGTTAAGCCTGGAAGCAGAGGAGTAAAAGTATTTGGAGATGCCACTGTGCTATTCCCACTGCTGGTTTCGGCAACATTCATGAAAAGCCAGGCTATAGTGCAGCAACCAGTAAACTATCAGAAGGATTCAGTGGCCGATGAGCTATCAGAAGCACAATAATTTAATCTGAAGCAAGCACTCTAAAAACGAGAGAATAAACCTTCTTATTAGAATATATTATTGGAAACAATTCGGTTTCATTTGATAGCAGCAAGGCTCAGTCTGCCCTTACTTCTTCCATTTCGTATTCAAGGCCTGCATCTGCACCATATCCGCATGGATGTATGGTGATTTCCTTGCATTCAATGCTTGTATCAATGTCTGTGGGGTTTTCGGAGACATTCTTCATTCCCTTGCAGTACAGAAAGCATTCCATCGATGTAGCCTTGCTTGCCTTCGGCTTCAATAGCATTGCCTCATCATAGAACTTTCCGAAATGGTTTACTATATACGGCGTGTATATGCCTTTGAAGCACTTTGCAACTAATGATGATCCATGCTTTGCTATCTTCATGCACATACAAAGTGTGGAAACCAACAGCTCCGACTGTAGATACTCATCGATTTCATGCAGGCCAGTTATCTCTGGCGCTCCGTCGCATATAACAACATCTGCCTTGCTTCCTCCAAGACATTGCAGAATTTTCTCAGCACATACATCCGACGTTATGTCTTCTTTTATGCACACAACGCCATCGATTGGCGCAATGTCTTGAACATCAACACAGACCACATGCTGCTGTGTATTTGCAGAAATGCCATTCTTATGCATACTCTTCATCTTTTCAGATGCATACTGGCTCCAGCTTCCTGGTGCCGCACACAAATCCACAACACTACTGGCGCCTTTGAATACATCGTGCAGTGAATCTATATGCATGAGTTTGTATACGCTTCGAGCCCTATATCCATGTTTTTTGGAAAGCCTATAGTACACATCTCTCTTCTCGTTGCTTTCCATGCGAAGATCCACAAAATCGATCAGCATAAATAATGCAGAATCCATGTGGTTGGTGCCTTCATCAGGAACACACATGCAATGCATATTTATTTGCACCGGATTAACATACAATTGTTGTGATGCTTTCAAAAACCCTGCATAAATGTTTGGCATTATGACAATTGCGTATGGAGCGCTGTTTCTTTTGAATGCAGTGGTGATTCTTGATGACAGGAGGTTTCTGTCAAGAGTGGGGCTTCCATTGTCTCCAGATGCAAGACACACTCTTGGCCCCAGCCGTAAAAAGATGGTCGAGCTGGTCCGAGCAGTAAAGACCGTGACAAAGATCCCGCTGATCATACTGAACACGCTGTGCATAACATATGAGATCTTCCTTGGATAGAATACATAAGATAATAAGGCATTTATTCACAAATGCTCGCTTAGATCATAGTCTATGTCAAGCGAGTCGTCCTTGGTGTTATCGCGTTCTTGAGATGCTGCTTGAATGCTGTTGTTTCTGAATAAATCGTTCGAGTCCAATGCCTTTTCATTGATCTTGTTTACACGTTGCACTTCTTTGATGTATGCCTTGTCATAGCAGCAGTTTCCTAGTGAGTTACCGAACTGCCTCATTGCTCGTTTCAGTGCATCAGTTGCTGCCTCTTTCTTTGCTTTTTCATATGCAACCACCCTGCTCCTCTGCCCCTCGGAGCTTCCAAACCCTACATCCTCTCTGCACGAACCGTCTTTCAGTGTGATTCTCACCACACAAGAAACGCCAAGAGACACCCTTGCATCCTCCACTGTCTCGCAGTCCACAGTGGTGCTTCTTATTTCAGACGACCACCCATTGAATCCAAATATCCTGTTTGCAAGACTGATTGCTGTCCACCCCTCGATATATGCCACCTTTGCAGAGTTGAAACCAGGGCGGTAGCTTATGAACTCGGGCCCAAGCTTCTTTTTCAGCAGCTTCGATATCCTTGCAGCCTCGTCCTTTGAAAATCCCTTAACCCGTTTGCCCTCATGCATATCCTCTATCATTGAATAACCCCTTAAAAGGCATGCATTTCCCAAACAAGAATAAATAAATGTTTTCGCTGCAAGGGGTAACAATGAGAGCAGATCCACTTGTGAGTGCTTTGAGAGCAGACAAGAGCACTGGAAAGCCATTCTACACAGCGATTCCACAGGGAATGATGCTCAACAAGAGCTTCGACATGAACACGCTCGGTATGACGTTCTTCCAGCGCACGCTGTGTTTTTTGGTGTGCTTGGGAACAGGGATGCTTGCGTTTTTATACAGCATGATCAAAATCCTGCGATTTTCGCCATCTGGGTTTATACTTCCATACACAGCGTCCAACGTGCTGTTCTTTGCAATGTTTGGGTTTCTGCTTGGATTTAAGTCGTACTTCAAGAACTTGTTTTCAAAGAAGAAGCGTGCATACACATCATGGTTTATTTGGTCAACTGTGATGACGCTGTACATAGTGTTGAAGTACAACACTTATGTATTGAATCTGATATTCTGCCTTGCACAGGTGATTTCATTCTTTACCTTTTCCTTGACTTTTATTCCTGGAGGAGTAGACGGCATATCAACAATGGCCACCATGCTTTTCAACAAGAAATAAATATTTTCTGGAATACTCATCTCCACCATAAAACTGCTGATAAGTAGAAATTCTCACAGCAAGTTTAACCATATGCTTGATAAGATGCTATTCGATTATCAACCATGAAAATATACACAAGAAACAACTATTTACTTGACAAAAATGAAAATCCTACAGAAAGCAAAACAATAAGCAATGCAACCGCTGCCTGAGGTAGTGACGATGCTGGTACAAACTTTGCAAGTATGTGGAGCAGAAATACAATCCCAATGAATATAAGCGAAATCATAATCGTTTGCACCGGTGAAATGCAAAGCCTCGATACATGACTGTTCAGTAGCTTTCCAAGCTTATTCTGTCTGTTCCTGTACTGCTGTATCTGGTTTGTCGATGGTGTTGATCTAGACATTTACAGGGATAAACAATCATTCCATTTATTTGCTCGCATAAACATCCTGCTAAGGTACAGCCAGTTCTGCTGCCATACCTCTAGAAGTCCATATCAAATCCAAACTGCAGTCTTTGCACTTGCTCGTTATCCGTCAGTGGAATTGCAAAGCTTGTCTTTATAACAGGCCCATCCTTCGACCTCATCACAGGAACACTTATTCCCACTCCAACAGATGCTCCAAGGCATTCATTGTTCTTGGCCAAACACGCTTGCCTGTTCATCAAAAGATCTCGGACAACTCCCTTCCCCTCAGAAACACATCCGAGGGACCCAAACATGTAAGCCTTTGCTCCTCCAACACATAAGCCAACCCTCTGTGCTATCTCTATAAATGAGCCTCCTCCTATTTTCAGCCCCGATGTGCTTGGCGATATACTCATTGCCTTGTATCCTCCAACCCCCTCTCCAAGGTAGTATCTTTCAGCAATATGAGGCTCTCCAAAAATCATCCCCATCGATGCATTCATGTCCATAAATGCATTCCTTGCCAGATGTTTGCTTACAGACATGCCAATCTGCCCCTTCACAAACATCCTGCAAGGCCTTGAATCAAACACTCCTGCTTTTGCTTTAATGTCAAGCATAGATATCCTTTTCCGGATCTCTAGAAACGTTTGGTCCAAATACCCTATTCTTTCTCTTCCTACAGACACACTCTGCTTCTCTCCCTCAAGCTCCACACTCGCTCTGACGTGTGGATAGTCCTCGTGTGGCGACGCCATTGTACTTGCAATCCCAAAAACATTCAGAAACCCTAATGTGCCAGAGATAAAAGGCTTCGAGAACTTGATGTTCATGTCTCGAGCAGTGGATACCGAAACATCAAGATTCTCAGCATGCCCAAGCAAATTCGGTAGCTTCATCTTGAAGTATCCCTTCGGAACGCACCCAGTTGTATCTCCGCTGAAGCCAATGCTTCGCTTTTCTTCAGATACCACAAGTCCATCGTTTGCATAAGCCACTGTTGAAAATATCTTCAATCTTCTAAGCCTGCCAACTACGCTCTCAATTGCATCTCCTTCAGACATCCTCAGGATCCTTTCAATAAACGCCTCGTCCGTTTTGCCAATTCCAGTTATTTTGAACATTCCAACACTTGGGGATGGCAAATGACAGAAATACGATTTAATACTATTCATGCTCACTACTTGTCTCGCAAACAACAGTCAGGCTTCATAATCTATATCTTGACCTCTGTCTTGCAGAAAAGTAGGTCCTCCACCATCCCAACATACGGAATGTAGCATCCACGCAATTCAAACGTAGGATCATTCGTCAGATTGCCCACCACGTCATACGTACTTCTAAACACCTGCGTTAGCTCCTTCTTTGCACTACTCCTCTCAATAATCCTGCTCCAAATAATCTCTGCTCTGTCGCTTCTTCCTCCATACACAGCCCTTACATATACAAAGATCTGCTTCAGGTTGAAGTGGAACTGAGAAGACAAGTCTATCTTCGGCTCAAAAAACACTGCCTGCGATCTTCCATATGCCTTGTACTCAATAATCTTCAGCGATGACTCCGGCAGACTCTTCGGTACCATGTACGAAAACACAAACACTCCAAGAAGTAGCACAACCGTGGGATTAAATGCATAAAGCGCTAGTGCTATAAGCCTCTTACTTGCTGTCTTCATGAGGGCCTTACAAAAACAATTAATATGCTTAATCTACTCATCCATCCTCACATGCTGCATAAACGCAGTGGCAGCCACGTGCGTTCATGAATATCATCTGCTTACAAACCCTGTATGAATGGGTTTGCACACAAACTCCTGAATCTTGAGATTCTTCCCGAGCACGACGTCATGCTGATTTGCACCAAGGTGTCTGAAATTCTGATCTCCGAGCCGAACGTTCCCTCCGTGCATTCACCGGTAACAATCTGTGGAGACATTCATGGCCAGTTTTTTGATTTGGTAAGCATGCTATGCATAGATGGGATGCCTTCGCAGAGAAAGTATGTGTTTCTGGGCGATTATGTTGACCGAGGCAAAAACTCTCTTGAGTGCATTCTCTTTCTGTTTGTGCTGAAGATCATCTATCCAGACAGCATTCTTTTGATAAGAGGAAACCACGAGCAGGCTGTCATCAACCGGGTGTATGGCTTCTATGACGAAGTAATTGAGAAGTATGGCAGTAGCAGGGTGTGGCGAATAATAAACGAGGTGTTTTGCTTGATGAATGTTGGATGCCTGGTTGATGGGCGCGTGCTGTGCGTGCATGGTGGAATCTCTCCGAAGATCACCTCTATCAACCAAATGAAAAGGATCGATAGAATGGCGCCGATTTCAGACAGTAGCGAGTTTTCAGACATTATGTGGGGAGATCCATATGATGGCCGGGGGTTCCAGCCAAGCCCACGAGGAAGCGGGTATTTGTATGGAAGCGATGTTGTGTGCAGGTTTCTTGAGCTGAACAATCTTGTTAGCATTGTAAGGTCTCACCAGCTTGTGATAGAAGGGTACAAGTTCCATTTTGACGAAAGAAACGTGATAACTGTGTGGAGTGCGCCAAACTACTTGGGAAAGTGCGGAAACCCTGCAAGCATTCTTCGGATCGACGAAGATTTGGATATTTCCGACAAGGACTTCTGTGTATTCAAGGCCACGCCTCAGAAGCGAGAGTTCCTTAGGATGCCCGATAGGTTTGGCATTTGAATGGAAAGCAAGGGTGTATTGTTCTAATCATTCACGCCTTGCATTCTAATGCAAACTATCTGGGCTTGCATTTGCATACTATTATGTGTGATTGTCAATGCATGAGTTCTGATATATGTGGTTGCTTGATCGCATCCCATGCATGGATCACTGGCAGGCGAGTGGAATAGATTGAAAACAGTGGAGGAAGAGCGTTCGGTTGAATTAATGGATGGATATGCAGTAAGAACATTGAAACGTGACATAAAACAGTATCTGGGATGCCTAGAGTATAGAAGTATCCCGTTTCATCTCAAGAGAATCAAGGCCTCCGGCAGCATGCTTTTGGTACTAGTTGATCTAATAGATAGCCATGATCCAATTGAGAATGTTAGAAGGCTTGTCTGCCAGATGGTTAGAGATGGATTTGGAGACGGTTGTGCATGCCCAGATGAGCTGATTGAAACAGTGTGTGTTCCCAGGTTCCAGCCAATAACCGATGAGCAATACTACAGAAGTGCGTTCGTATGGCCATGCAATAAACTCAATAAAGCCAAAGAGAGCCTGGATATGGTATATATTCAAGCAATGATGGATGCATTAAGTATGCAGCATCACAACACAGAGATAGAGTGCAGTAAGGCATGCTTGATAGCAGATGGATGCAATAGTGTCTGTATTCATGGTGATACCGACAATCATCTTGGCCATTCTATATTTAAGGCAGTCGATGAAGTTAGCAAGTCACAGGTCTCGTATCTGTGCACAGGCCTTGATGCATTCTTGCTCAACGAGCCTTGCTTGTCATGCTCAATGGCTCTTGTGCATGGACGCATCAGAAGAGTATTCTGTGCCAACCAGAGTGCAGATGGACCGTTCTCTCTTCTCAAGATCAACTATAACAAAAGCCTTAACCACAGATACCCTGTGTATTTCATGCCACGATCAGAATAAAACAAAAACATATTTCTGCACACCAACAAATATTCAGATGCTTTAATGAACCTCATCAACTATCTCTGCCTTCTTCGCACCATAGAACACCCTCTTCTCCTCGCTTGTCTGGAACCGTCCGTGCCCAATCTTCGACGACGTGTCAACAAACTTGATCGCCACTTCCTCGCCCTTCTTCTGCTCATACAGGCTCTTCCTAAGCGTCACCACCCTCTTCGTAGGCCCCATCACCGCACCCTTCACCATAATATAGTCGTTTCGCACCACCCCATAGTGCGGGAACCCCCCCATCGGCGTTATCGTCTTGCGTGTCAAGTCATACTCAGTCTGTATCTCCTCGTTCCCATTCCCAATCATATACACCCTCTTGTTCACCTCCGTCCTTCTATGGAATCCCATCTGTCCAGCCCTTGCTACCGAATACATCACCCTGCTTGGGTGCCATGCTCCAATACACGCCACCTTCCTTATGCCCTTCCGTGACTTCCTCGGCTGGATCCGCACTCCAAACCTCTTTACTGTTCCCTGGAACCCCTTCCCCTTCGTTACTCCAACCGCATCAATATTCTCATTCACCCCAAACACCTCTGCAATCCTTATCTCCTTCTCAAGCCTGCTCATTGCCCATTCAATCTTCTCGCCTACACTTCCCCCATTCACCTGCATCTCTGCTATGTGTGCCTTCTTCAGGTTCAGCCTCTTCACCAGCACTGGCTGTGTCTCCACCAGCACCCTGATACTACTTGCTCTCTTCTTCATCTCCTCTGCACGCCTTTGCATCTCCTCTGCACTGTATCCGCTCACAAACTTCTTCCCTGTCTCTTCGTGTCCATATCCAAACATCCTTCGTAATGCCCCTTCGCTCAGGTGTGCTGCATACACCGGCTGCATCCGCTTCTTCCCCTCTGCTGTTTCCTCGTACCCAACTACTCCATGCACAACCATCGGCGGCGCCTCAAGCACCGTGACCGCCTCCATCAGCTCCTTCGTCACCTGCTTGTTCTTCGTCACCAGCTCCTTCGTCCTCACCACATGTGTCATTCCGCACTTGTACACCATGAATCCAGTCAGGTGCACTGCCTTCTGTGCATCATCCTCTGGAAAAGCACCGACAGACGGCCTGATTGTTCTTGAGCGCTTTCTTGGGCAGAACTGCAACGACCCATGTCTTGGCGCACTGAACTTCCTGCAGCTCATTGATAGAGGGCACAAAAAATTTGCATTAATGCAGCAGAGCAGCTGTGCACTGCATGTGGATGGGCAGGCACTGTCTGAAATAGAGTGTGCACGCATGAGCAGGCAAGGGTGTGCATGAATGAATAAACATGGGCATGTATAGAACACATGAATGCACAGGCATGTGGAGAACACAGAGTATAAATAATGAATCCAATCGATGCAATGATAAATACACATAAGAAGCGGGCTGCCAAGAAATATAGCATGCATAGCCACTTGATTTTAATGCTGATTTTATTACCCTGCTATGTCTTCTCACTCTGTAACAAGCTACGAAGCATATTTCAAAAGAGGGATTGCATCAACGGATTATCGTGATGAAGTCGATGATTATCCTGTATACGATGAAATAGACATGAAGGATTTTGAGTACAACAGCACAGACAAAACATTCTACTATCCATGCCCTTGTGGCGATAGATTTGAGATTTCTCTTGATGATTTGAGAAATGGAGAGATAATAGCAAAGTGTCCGTCGTGCTCTCTATTGATACGCATAGTTTACGAGCCTGATGACTTGGAAATGCATGAATAATGTTTGTGTGGCCATAGCATGCATCGGTGTAATAAATATAATGAATATATCGGTGTATAGTATTAAGCAAAGAGACTTGGGCAACAGATAATTTGTCGTCCTTGAGTTTAAGCTGTGTATTGAGGAACCCAGGCCATGGTAAAGAAGCAACAAGAAGTTAAGCAGAAATCATCGAAAGACATAAAAAAAGAGCTAGAGGAGAAGGCATTTGGACTTAAAAACAAGAAGCAGAAAGCAGCCATTATGAAGCAGTTGGAAAGTCTCAATCTCAAAGAGCAGCTTGAGAAGAAGGAGAGGATGAAAAAGGAAGAGACAAAGATGTATGCCAAGCAGGTGATTCCAATAGGGGTAGACCCGAAAACAATTCAATGCATAAACTTTCTGAACAAAATATGTCCGGATGGAGACGGATGCAAGTTTGCACATGAAGTGGTCAAAAAAGTAGAGAAGCAGAGCACGGAAGCAGTGGCTGAAAAAGCAAGAAGCATATGCAGATTTCTTATAGATGCACTACATTCTGGAGAATACAAAAGTGACTGGAAATGCCCGTTTCCAGAATGCAATGATGTCCATAGGCTTGTTGAGATGAAGGAGAATGTGCAAGTTGAGCTCACTCTTGAGGAGTATATTGAGTTTTCCAGGCAATCTCTTCCAGCGGAGTTGACTCCACTGACTGAAGAGAGGTTTAAGGAGTGGAAGATTAAGAAGCAGAATGAAGAGAAGGAACATGCTAGACGAGTAAGGGCACTTTCGACCGGGGTTCTTGGAATAGAGTTGTTTGAAACACGCCGAGAGCTATTTAAGGACGATGAGGAGGCATGTGAGGAAGACTATGCAGAGAGGTGCTACTCGGAATCTGATGAGAGTGATGCGCAGTATCATGTTGAATAAATGGCTTTCTTGTTTGTACCGTAGAGCTGTTGAGTTTGTGCAGGGCCACAATTTTCTCCCGCCAATACCTGAGAAAGTTTTTAAGCAGCAAAGAGCCTGAGAGTTGATGAAGAGGGTATTTGAAGACATTACAAATGTGAGCAGAAAGAACATTAAGCTGACGATACACAAATCTGCACATAGGAAGAAGCTCCTACGATGGCTATATGAGGTTGTCAATGACTTTGAGTATTCCCAGGTGACATTTTCGATAGCTGTGCTTATTCTAGACAGGTATGTAGAGATGCGAGGGCTTGACCTTACAAAGTACCAGCTGGTTGGCATTTCTGCGCTTTTTTTGAGTGCGAAGCTAGAAGAGAAGCATCTTAAAACCTTGGACGATTATGTGTTTGTTACAAGCAATTCGTTTCTGAAACAGGAGATTCTTGACAAGGAGATAGAAATGCTGAAGGCTCTTGAGTTTGACATGATAATGAAGCTTCCGCATTGTCTTCTGAGGGAAGCACAGATTGAAAAGATGTCAGAAAGGTACAGTATGAAACAAAGGCAGGAGATCTTTTTTTGTGCATTTTCGTATTTAATAGAGAAAAACAGCTGTAGATGGAATGCCCTGCAGCTGTATACTAAGGGGATTCATGAGGCATCGAGCCTGTTTTCTGGATGTGAGGCCGACACTGACTTCAAGTTCTATCTTGAAAACAATAGAGTGATTAAAGGCATATTTATGTATTTGCTATACATATTATTTGGTTTCTAAAGTAGAATGTCCTTGAATAGCTGTTCTTGAGGAGTATGGGCGCTATTTTTTGCAAGTTGTGTAGCCTTTGAGACTTCGTCATGGGCGTCTTGCTGCATTATTTCGAGCTGAGTTTCTGAGTAGAATTGCAATAGCTTGTTTCTTATTTCGACAGCACAGTCGTTTGCCTTTGCAGATTGTATTTCACCATTTTTCCGGTAGTAATCTTTTGTATCTGCGGTTGAGTGAGTACAAAGCCTATGTGTATCTATTTGCAGAATGATAGGGCCGTTGTCCAAGGCATAAGCTCTAGCATACTGCATGGCGGAAAGGATTGCAAATGTTGAGCCGTGGCCGACTCTGATTCCAGGAACCTGATTGCCTCTACGGAAGAACTCAGCATCGGCGCTGGCGTTTTCTAAAGGCGTCCACATGCCATATCCGTTATTTTCACACACAAACACAATAGGAAGTTTCCAAATCAACGCCATGTTGAGGCATTCGCATACTTGGCCTTGGTTTGCAGCGCCATCTCCGTAGAATGCATAGCAAACTTTGCGAATGCCTGGCTTTTGAAATGCGCGGTATTTCAGCGCATATGCTATTCCTAATCCAAGCGAGACCTGAGCACCTACGATGCCATGTCCGCCAAAGAAATTCTTGTTGTAGAGATGCATAGAGCCGCCTTTTCCTTTACAGATGCCAGCTTCTCTTCCAAGCACCTCACCCATTATTTCAGATATGGTGCATCCAGTGACATATGCAATGCCATGGCATCTATATGAGGAGATAACCATGTCGTCTTTACTAGCCTTTTCCAGGGCAGCATATATCGCCTCCTGCCCTACTGAGAGATGGCAAAACCCTCGAATGAGCCCATTTTTGTAATCGTCGATCATCTGCTCCTCCATGTATCTGATTCTGAGTATTTGCTTGTATATGTGCACAACCTCATCAATGGGGAGGCTTTTGATGGCGGGGATGCATGATTTTTGTATAAGGTGTGTTTGTATGTGATCTATGGCTTCTTGTGGATCTAGATGCACGTGTTTTGTATTATCCATGTGTTTTGATCAATAAAAGCAATATGTTTGCCACATGAAGCAAGATGTTTTGGATGATATAATATTGATGAATGTTTCATACCTGGCATGATTGGTAAAGGTAGATGAACCAAATGAGCCCCATGAGCAGCCGTGAGATATTGAGTGTGGCTGATTTGATTGGCCATGCATTGAAAGGGTTTCCGCTGAGAACAATGCACAAAGAAAGAGCGAATTCATATATTCCTAAGGAGCTTGCGATGCAACTGAAAGGCGATGCGTTGAAGAGCACAGTTCCATTTCTTGTAAGCCTTGTTGAAAGAGTGAAATTGGCACAGAAAGCATATGGAAAGGAGTATGCTAAGCAGATGGCAGATAGAAGAGAATTCGCACAGGCTCGGATAAAAGAGATAAAGGTGTTGATGAATGCCATGATAGATGACGAGAAAACAAGCATGATAAAGAGTTTGATAAGTGAGGTAGAATACTATGAGAAGATGGGTATGAGGCCGGTGAGCATGGCGACAGTTGATGCAGAAGCAACAAAAGCGATTTTTATGAAAATGGAAGGTATTGATGCAGGAGCTACGGATCCATATGTAAAAGAATATATGTCAAGAAGGATTTGCTTTAGTGAATCAGTATCTTCAGATGTTGAGATTTCCACGCTAAAGGCAATGATTGAGATGTTAGAAGACGAGTGCGGTAACTGAATGAATGGTTTGCCGTGCAAATAAAAACGATTGGGCGTAAGCTGAAAGCCAAATACCAATGAAGTTTAATACAATCCATGATGATCACAGGTTCCTCAGCTGTTTGAGGCATTGGATGTAGATGCAGAAAGAACACGCCTGTTTCTTAATGATACGGTGTTCATTCCAACTCTGTTTTTCTCAACGAAGCTTGGTGGCTTTGGAGGAGCATATTCTATGCTGATGCTTAGTGCGATTCTTGCAAATAGAATGTTAAGGAGGTTGAGGAGTATTGAGGGAATGGATATTATCAGGTAATAGTAGCGAATGTGATTGATGATACTCATGATCTGTGCAGTGCATGCTTTTTGATTTGAGCACTCCAAGTAATGGAGAATGATGTTTTCTGCCTGTGCTATGTTGTATGCAACGCCTAGAGCTTTTGAGACATCACTCTGGTAGCTGATCTTAACGTAGAGAACGATAGCTGACATGCCGATGAGTAGGAGAATGCTTACAAGAAGATACAATCTCATGTACAGCCGAACCTTACTATTGATTCCACAGCTTGCAAACAACCCAAGTGTTATGTTAACCATTGATGTTGTTTTGAATATAGTAAGTATGCTGAGCGTAGTTTTGAGACATTGGCCCTCCACTGATACATATAGCATGTATGGGACCAATAAAAACGGAAGGGGAATGTTTATGACGATCAATAGCACCGAGCACAACTGGTTAAGTGCTCTTATATTTCTGAATGCTGTTGTGGCCATTCTCTGAGTGAAAGGATTCTTTTTAAAAGCCTTGGCCACCAATTGGATTTTCAGGAAGTGTTAAGGAGTCTGAGTTTTTGTGGTATGAATAAAGGGAGAGCATAGCATAAGTATTGGTTGGCTGTGCTTATGATTTATGATTTAAGCCATCAAGAAATTAATAAATCCATGTTATGTTGAGATTATAATGCATTGAAGCACAATCCCTATGTGTATTGCTGTTATTTTGTATGCAATTGGTGTGCTTTGCAAGAATTATGCGATTCTATTGAATTCGTCTCAAGGATTCCATAATTACAGGCAAATGGCAAATGTGTATATTTTTGATCACATATTGAGGCAAAATGGATTTGAAGGGGATCAGATTGCAATTGTTTCGTATGTGAATCAGATTCAGGACATAAGAAATGCAGACAGGGAGCATGTGCATATTGATGGTGATTTAAAGATTCCGTATTCTGAATTTGATGTTACTAATGATGCGCTGAGGGTAATGCTGAATGCAATTGAAGGCAACCATCCGAAGCTTAAGGATGCCGATGAGTCATCCAATGTTCTGATATACATGAATGGGCATGGAAACGAGTCGTTCCTGAAGTTTGGGAGCATACACTTTATGACGAAGGATGATTTGATGTGCAGGGTTGTGAAGCTAGCATCTAGGGTAGGGAAAGTTTTAGTGCTACTTGATACATGCCAGGCTGATGCGCTTATAGACAGGGATGCTTTGCCACCGAATGTTTTTGCAATTGCCACGAGTAAGATCAAGCAATCGGCTATTTCGACATTTGAGTCTTCTGTGCTTTTTACTAATACAGTGGACAATTTCCCGTATTTTTTCTTTATGAAGGCACAGAAGGGAATTGGAAGCAAAGATAAGCTTGTTGATGTGTTTACGGATTTAAGCAAGGAGCCGATAGAATCTGAGCTTGTGTTTAGTGATGATCCTATGTTTTATTATGGCGATTTTTTTGTGCAGAACTTGATGTTTGAGCTACTTCCTTTCAAATGACATGAAGATATTATTTGTGCAGTGGCATTAATGGTGATTTGCAGTTCATAGTATTATTTTATGTGCTAATGGTTTTATTAAAGAGTGGTGCTTTAAATACTACTTTCATTTTATGTATTAGTGTGAATGTCCCTGATGGGTGTAAGAAGGAAGAGAATAAAGAAGGGGGAGGAGTGCAAGGAGAATTGGGATGAATATAGTATTGTTAATGAGGATGACTGGGGTTCTTCAGCAGTGAGTAGCATGAGCGAGCTTGTCTGGAAGTCTTTTGATGAAGAAGGGAAGATGCTGAAAGCAAATTTGAATGAAGAAGGAGCGGTGGATGAGATGAGAGACGCAGAAGATGCAGAAGGTTTTCAGAAGCAGCTGATAGATGGATTGAAGGAATCGGTGGCCAGGAACATGATGAAAGTTGATGGAGAGGAGAAGCAATGCAAGAGCCATGAAGAGCCATTAAACATTTCGAAGCAAAGATATGAAGAGTATGTAAAGAAGAAGGGAGAGAATAAAGAAAGTTTGTGCTCAAAGATTGATGGAATGAGTAGGCGGAATGAGGAGGAAGTTTGGGCCAGAACTGAAAGTAATTTGAGAATGATCATCAAGAATCAGCAAGAGGAACTAGAAAGGAAGGAAGTGGCTATAAATAGATTGAATCAAAGGGTTTCCGAGCTTTCTTCGAGTATGGAGATAAAGGGAAGGATATATGCCTTGCAATGCATTTGTAGGGGGGAAGAGTTGCTGAAAGCAATTGAAAATGATATAGAAAGTGAAAAACAAATACTAGTTAGGAGAATCGACGAAGGAGTAGAGAACTCTAAGGTATTGCAAAAAAAGATTGATGGCCTGAAGAAGATTGTGAATGAGCTAGTGAAGAAGATAAAAAAGAAAAGGAATGTAAGTGAACAAGGCATGGCAGAATCGAGAATTGGTAATATCAATGAGAATAGCCCCTAAATGTTTGACTCTGAATATTTCAAGAATCTTTTGAATGAGACAACAGCACTTATCAACAAGAAGGCAGAAGGTACATGCTCTGATGATGCCGATATTCAGATTGAAAGCAACATTATGACTCTTAAGTATCTAGCAAATGACATATCTGACAAAGACGTCCAAAATAAGATGCTGAAGAGGATAGATATGCTTTATGCTGAACCTGCAGAGTTTGAAGTGAGTGAAGTTCATCACCGGATCACGGGTGTGAATAAAAGCAATGAGCATTCAGATAGGATAGAAAGGGATATTTTGAAATATTCTCGACAGCTCCATGGTAAAGCAAAGAGATTTCTTGACAGTTTGAGGCTTGATGGAAGCGTGCTTGACGAAGTGACAGGCAAGATGGTGAAGAATCTTGCAGGGACGAATTCTGCATTAAGGTTTATGAAGAACGAGCAATCCAGCAACATTTCTGTGTTCCAGATCCTTGTTTCTGCATTGGTTATATTTGTTATTATGTACTTTATAATAAGATTTCTTTAGAAGTGAGGATCAAATGTTTATTATGGCAAATTAAGTAAATGGATCAATATGTCGTCATTAATCTCCTCTTTGTTTCTTTTTCTCTCGATGAATATTTCTTTTCCTGTCATGCTAGTCTTTTCGGGTCTAGGCTTTACTGCTTTTTGTTTCCACGCAAGAAAGTCCTGTTCAGTGATTCTTTCGCTGTCATCAATATCGTAGCTAATTACAAGCTTGCCTGTATCTACTATTATGCTGCTCTCATCCAATTTCTGGAGGGCGAGCCTGATTATGTCGAAGATCATTGGCGTTGATACGTATTTTTGTACCTGACTTAATGACCAATTCAGGATATCTTGCTCGATATTTGAAAAAACATCAGGAACTATGCTTGGATATTCCTTCTTGCATACAAACTCAAAATAGTTTTCCCCCACTGATATGCTGCAGACTAAGCAATCTTCTTCGAAGTGATGTTTCATGCTATTTCCAAATATGCATTGTAGAGCTTGGAGCTCATTCATTCAATGGGTAGATACACTTGTGCAATTATTTTGAATTATCGATCAAAAGCAAACCTTTGTATAGCCATTTTATGATTCAGCAAATACGTATATTTCCCATTATGGCTTTGTTGGTCTATACATTGTGTTTTTGCAATTACCCCGATATGCTTGCGCTTGTTTTTGCAGGGAGTGTGCTTGCGAGAGAAGCAGGCCAAAGCCTGATGGATCTCAGCATTAACTGGGAATTTGCGATTAAAGATGCATTATATAAGGCGCAGGACAGAACTGATATTGCGCTGCTTCTATTGATTCTAGGAATTTTGATGAATTTCGCTGGAATACGTATGAAGAAATTGTCTTTTTTCTCGATCATTTTCTGCACTATATGGGTTGGCACAGACACTCTAAAGAACTACAATGACATGGCAGTTAAAATTACGTACAAAGGCATGATTGAAAATGCCAGCAACTGTTTCAGGATGTATAACATGGTTGTGGATATGATCGCAAACAACATAGTATTCACGCTGTTTTTGTCGCTGATCCTAGGAGTGATGTTTTTGTATGTTCTCAAGATTATTGCATACTTATTCATACTTTACCTTGGCATCAGTGCATGGAAAAATGTTGGAAGCATGGAAGACACATCTGAAGTGGTTTACTACGCAATACAGATATTGCTTTTGATTCTTGGGATAGTAGGGATGTCGCTTGTTGATCCGATTGCAATACTAATGTGCATTATTGTGTTTTCGATGTTTGGATCTGCACTGATTATTCTTGGACTGAAGTTTGGATTAGGAGTTGATCTGGATATAAACGAGCTTGTCAAGATGCTCTCTCTTGAGGAGGATATAAAGAGCGGAAATCAGAAGATTCACTATTTGAAGTTTTTATATGCTATACTGGTAATACTGGGTATTATTAATCAAATTATTTTCCGAAAGAAAAAGTCTTGACTATATTAAAGCGTAAAATAAAGCGATTGTTTTATGCTGATTATTTAGTTATTTTGATGTATTTTAAGCTGGTGGATAAAAGCATCCAAAAAGAAGTGCGTAGATAAGCCCGAATCCAAAAAAGAACCTGAACAGTAGTCTCCGTAGTATTTTGCTCTGCATTGTGTTGTACTTTTCAGCCAGAATCCAGTACAGCAGTGGATTGAACGAAATGAACCTAAAATACATGTTCCAATGAATTAGAAATACAGCGATCAGTGTCTGTGCAAAGAGTATAATGGCCAGAAGCCGAGTGTTGCGTGCATACACACTATTATTATGAAGCCTAGCGGCACTTTTGTTGGCATCTAGCCTGCCATTCCAGTACTCAAAGAGTATATATGTTGAAATTGCCAAGAATGGAGTTCCAAGAATAATGTTTGGAATGTTGTTGCTAGTGAAGAATTTGAACAGCCCCTGCTCCCAATACGTTTTTTGGACATACGAATACGGCACAAATATTCTATATGTATTCTTTGCCTTGTTGATAATGAGAAGCGAGTAGTACTGGAATGTAGCCAATGGAAGTAGAAAGAATGCAGTTCTCATTATAGAAAATCTATCCAAGGGAAATAATACAAACGGAGCAAACAAAACTGCATTTGACCTACACAACCCGCATAATGAAAGCATTGCGGTTCCATGAAATGCATTGTTTTCTTCCAGAAAGTGCATTCCAAGAACAAAAGCTAGCATAAACAACGATTCTGAATACATTGCTGTATACACAATTGATGCAGGATTGAAGATGAACAAAACAACGCTAATTTTTGCAATGGTTGAGCCGTATCGTTTGAGTGTTATCTTATATAGCACGCCTGAACTCAAGATGGTTGCAATGCAGGAAACAAGCACGCCAGTAGTGTATGGTTCTATCCTGAGCACTTTATTAACTGCACGCGACACATATGGAAGGAATGGAAAGAATGCAGTTTCGTGTATCTTTGCATAGCCATTTTTCATTATTTCGAGGAAATGGACAGCATCCCATGATAGCAAAAACTTCATGCAAGAGTTTGTCTGAACAAGTTCCGTGGACTTGTCGAACGGAGGAATCAAAATGGATGCGACGCATGAAATCGATATGTAGAATACACGAGAAATGCAGGCCAGCATTAGTACGTCTTTCAGGTCCTTATCAATAAACATTCCTATAAGGGCAGTGTTAATTATGATTTGTTTATTTGGAGGTAAATTTTAGGATGCAGCAGCCCCAATGTTTGCATTTGTTCTTTTTGCCTTGAGATGTTTGTGCACAGAGCATTTATTTATGCAAGAGTCGTCGTTGCTAACTCCTTATGTGGATGGAGTTGGTAATTTTGCAAATTGGAATGCATTTGGAGAGTCTGTGGTTAAAATATATGGTAAGAACACATTTGTGCAGTTGGGGTTTTCATCGCCAGATAGCTCTGGGGCGATAGTGTCTTCACAGCCAATAAAGCACGATCGGTTCTGTATTGATTTCGTTATAGAAATCGCAAACGAAGAGAATAATGGCAATGATGGAGAAGAGGGAATGTCGATCTGGATGTCTGGGGATAATGCGTTTGAGGAGGGGGCTTGCTATGGCCGGTCATGCAGCTTTAACGGTATTCTTATTGCAATCAAGCCATCTGGTAAGTCGTACATTGGTGTGAAGGCCGGGGATGTATATGCAAACACACAGAATGCAGACAAGTCATTTGATAAAGTTATCTACAGAGATTTTGTGCCGGGCGATGCTTTTGTCGTGCGTATTGAACAAGATGATCAGCTTATAGTGTATATAGGAGAATCGAATAACCTTGTGCCAGTGCATAGCTACAAAGCATTTGCAAGCAAAAAAGACAACTTTATCGGTGTTTCTGCTTATACAGGCAAGTATTCTCCATCCATGAGAATCATTAGTATTGAATCGTATAAGCTGAAGAATTTCAAACGCTTGATAAGAGATGAATCTCAAAGAGGAGGCAGCCTTGTGTGGATTCTTTTTTTCGTAGTGATATGTGTAACGGGATACTATCTTTACTCCATCCAAATTAAAAAGAAGTAGCTTTGTTCTGTGCCATGCTCTATGCATGTATGATGGCATAAATCATACATTTTATCTATTGCGACATCTGTTATTGATCAGATACAGATACAGCAGTGCAACACTAATGTTATTGCATATCCAAGGGACTATAAAGAGAAGAGATCACAGGCCGCATAGCTATGGATGATGCACACGATTAGTCCATAAGTAAATGCTAGAATACAGTAAAGATATGACTGGCAGTGACACTGATGGTGGTATATGCAGTGATGCAGGAGTTTAGAAAAGTAGAGGATATGATAGGATAGGAAATAAATAAAACAAGAAGCAAGAAGCGTTGAGAAAATGGGAGTGATAAGAATAGTGATGTCGTTTGCAGGAGTGATTGGAATGTGGATTGCATAGATTGTTTCCAGTATACTGAGTATGAATGGAGTACTTGGAGGTGTATCTACATGAGTATGTATAATAGCAGAGTATGAATGGCCTAGCAGTAACAAAGTAGAATGAAATAAAATGTGTTTACATAATACAAAGAATAATGATAGAATGATACTGATGAGATGTGCTACCATTGCATACATGGATTTTGCAGAAGTATCAAACTATTCAGGTTAGTATCACTCAGGGAATTTGCAGGCTGCTCGCATATAGCCGATGCAACAATTAATGCTCCACTTCTCACTGTATGCCATTTGTAATGCAGTATCCACTCGTACCTACTCAGCCATCATAACACATTTATTTATTTATATTCTCTCCACACTCAGACCTCAATCATCATTTCTACATCCTCAATCATCATATTTTGCTCATTGGCTTCCATCGCTGTTATGGCTTCCATCGCTGTTATGGGCTTAATACTATCTTCCATGCTTTGATTTATCAAATCTTTTATCTTTTGATTTATCATGTCGCTATAGATTAATGCCAGCATAAACAGTGCCAATATCATCATATTAATCTTCTTCTGCGCCCCCTATTGCTCGCATTGATTTCAGGATAGTTTATTATCATCCCTCCAAAATATGGTAATGCTTTCATAGCCTCTCCAAAAATTCTATCACCTTCTTCATTGCTCAACGTGTAATCCTTACTAATCAGCTGTTTGCACATGCTTTCCACAGCAGTAAAAAGTATCTCCTTCAATTGAGCAAGCGTAATTTCAACCAGCATCTCATCGAAAAACTTGCTTTGATCACTTATGCTCTTATTCTTATCTGTAGATCCATTAACACACTCCTTAC